GCGCGCCAGGGGCGGCGCCGGGAGCATCGCAAGGGGATTCCAGCACAGATCCAAGAATTTTGCGCGGAGCTCAGAAAAAATATGTAATTATGCGTCTGTACTTGTTCCTCGGTTCCACCCTCCCTCCTCCTCCGTCCTCTCGCCCCCGCAAATCCAGGTGACAACCCATGCCCAAACATCCAGCGTCCCGATTTTTTCGAGGCATGGGCCACCGACCTCTTGACCACCTCCCCGGGGCCAGCTTTTCATCCCGACTTGTTATTTAATGGCCCTGAGGCCCTGTAAGGGTCCCGAGAAGCCGAAAACTATGAAAAACCTCCGTCTCGACTTATGTTTCGAGACGCCGGGCGTCTGGGCTCATCCGTTCTTTGAGCAAGGGCCGGCCGTCCCGGCATTTCCTAGAGGCCTGCACGACAAGTTCTCAGAGCAGAAGAACTTTCTACGAAAAAACAGTGTTCTTAGAAGACGAAGCCGTTGTATCAAAACAAGACGACATACGAACACAAATTCTCTCAGCACATTTGGTGCAATCTGTCGACACAATACTTCAACACTCTGGGCTTCGCCACTGCGCAGAAGCAGGTGACAGTCCCTCCTGGCTTGCCACGGGCGGGCTCCCGTGGTCTGCTGGTGGGGGGGACGGGGGGCGCGCGCGCGCGCCGGGCCTTGAGGAACCGCGAGGAGCGTCGGCGCGGGCGCCGGCTTCTGCGGAGGGGCCGTGACACCCGGCGTCTCGAACAGATCGAAACCAGAAGCCTCCCGGACGGGGTCGGAGGGTCTCGCCGCATCGCCGATGCATCGGCGAAGTCCGCGCGGAGAGGATCGAGCTCCACATCGACCCGCGTCGCCGATACATCGGCGATGCGGCACGATCTTCCGATCCCATCTGCTCCGACCGCACCCGAAACAAGGGACGACTCGCGACGAACACCCGGTCCCAGGGAAGAGGTCGAGAGGTCGGGGGCCCGCGTCTGGACAAGATCGAGGCGCCAGGTGTCTGGGGGCGGGGCGGTGGGGGGGCTTGGGACGGGGGCGGCGCCCTTCCCCCCCTCTCCAGCGACATGGCGTTTTCAGGCTAGAGGTTTCTCGAGTTCGGCCTCCCCCTCCTGGGGTCCATCTGGTGCAATTGTTTACCCCAGATGCGTCCTTGACGGTCTCGAAGCCAGTATAGGCAAAGAACCTTCTCGAACCCAGCACCTCGAACCTCGTCACCCATTCCTGCTCGCTGGAACCAATGCTGGCCACCTCAGACCCCAAGCCGGCTTCAACTATCGTCGTCGACTGCGCCGCAGTCGACTTCGTCATCGTCAGCGTTTTTGGCGACTTCGTCTTCGCAGTCGACTTAGCTGGCGTTGGCACCATCGGCTTCGTTGCAGTCTTCGTCGTCGACGTCGCCAAGCGATGAAGGTCTGGAGACGAGGGGCCAAGGTTAGGGGGGACCAGCTCAGCGGAGGAACATCGACCTGGAATCGACGATACATCGCCGATAGATCGGCGATAGGTCCCCGATAGCGAAGCCGCGCGATCCTTGGTGGGGTGGGCTGTCAGGCCCTTATCGGCGATGAAATGGGCGAGCGGCGATCGGGGGTTGATGCATCCGCCTCTGAAGCTCCCCCTAGCATTGACCTCAGTACGCCACGAAAATATCTTCACATATACCCTCCGACGAATTTTGCATGTACCTTCAGGGAGGGCGGTGGTGTATAAAGTCGCTGGCTCTCAGAGGTGATTTATACACCGCCACCTCTCCCTGAGGCCCAAGAACAACCCGTTGGAGGGTCTGTGTACATGTTTTTCTTGTGGCGGACCTAAATTTCGGGTGCAAGGTCGGCTCTCTGGCGGCCGTTCGGGACGATCCCGGGCACCCCCGGACCGCTCTTATTCTAGTATACGTAACCAAACCATATGGTTACGCATGAAGCTGTCGCGCGTAACCAAAACGCGAACAATATAGCTACGATCGACCCCGCACACACTTGAGCTATCAAAATGCATTGCACACCTCCGTAACCAAGATCTGCCAGGGAAGACCTTTGCGTAACAACGTCGTAACCATATTTACCATGTTCGTAACAAAAAATAAAAACCAAACAAAACACATACATCGCAACCAAATCGTCACCGAGTCATAATTGAATCGAACCGAGCATGTTCGACATTCCCGATTGGGCTCAAGAAGGGGGCGGTGGAGCAAGGCGGCGAGAGTGACAACGAACATGAGGACGCGGAGAAACAAAGAACGAAGAAGGGAGCAGGAGCAGAAGCAGGACCTTGGGAAAAAGAGGCGTCGTGGAAGACGACGAGGGAAAGCGAGCGACGAGGAGGGAAGACCAATGAGGAGACAGAGCGCTATCAGGTGGAGCAGGACGAGGAGGAATCTGACTCGGATAGGGAAAAGGAACAAAACACACGCAAGCACGAGGAGGATTGAGAAGGGAGGGACGATCATGAGGAGGAGGAAGAGGAGGAGGAGGAGGAGGAGGGGGAGGAGGGGAAAACGGACGGGGAGAGGGAGGAGGAGAAAGAGTAATAGGAGGAGGCATTGGCGGAAGCACGGCGAGAGCACGAGGGCCGAGTAATAGCATTGACACATTGATGATTTGACGCCAGAGATCAAGGTTAGAGCCAGGAGGGTAGGAAGGAGGCTTTGAAGAAGGCCCAAATGGACAAGGACGAGGATGAGGCTTGCAGGAAGTATCATAGGAATGAGAGAATCAAAGACGGCTTGGATGGAAGAGTGAGCTTGAAGAGGGTTAAACTAGGAGGAGGTGCGGGAAGAAAAGGTTGGAAGTCTAGACGCTTCGCGTAACCCCACCAGTCAGTTCTCCTCATACGTCGTCGACCTTGTTCGGGAGCGCGCGTGGTTTCCTCAGGAGTGAGTGTGCGAGTTCGGTGGCACCACTCGTACTGGCTCCTGGTCAGTGACGTTTTCCTGGCCATCGGTGTTGTGTTTGTACCTCCTGGAGTGTATTGCAAGCGAGCTGCCCCCTTCAGGGGCTGGGTGCATGGATGTCTCGTGTGGTTTATCCTACGCCTAGTCCTCGCCCTCAGCGGCCACTTGTCAGCGTTGTGTGCGACTTTGGTGGCGCCCCGTCCATGCACTAGCTTCCTGGTCAGTGAGTTCTTCCTGGCCTTGCTGGTGGCATGCGCTCGCTCCTGGACCTGTTTCCTGGCAACTGCAGCCCGCACCACCTCCCGCTTGCGGTCGGCTGAGGTGCCGCTTAAGCTTCTGTTTGCTGGCGCATTAGGCAATTAGGTTCGCGCGTGGCCCGCCCGTCCTGTGTGACGCCGCCTGCGCTTTCGCTTGCGGCTGCGACAAAAAGTAACCCCACCAGCCCATCCAGAAACGATGCCCAGAGGAGAAACTTCGATCAGGAAAGGTGGCAACACACAGAGAAAGGGCCCCCCAGTGGAGGCCTCTTGGAGCGTCTCGGGGGCATCTTGGCGGGCCCAGGGTCGTCTTTGAGCGTTTTGGGTGCCTCGGGGATCGTCTTGAGGTTTCTTGGGTGTATCTTGGTCGCCTCTTGGAGGCCTCTTGAGCGCTTCTTGGGGCCGTCTGGGCGCCTCTTGGGGCCCTCTTGGGGCACTCTTGGGAGGTTTAGGGGCGCTCTTTGGCCATCTTGGAGGACGTCGATCCTGATCTGCGAGAAGTTCAGATCAAGTGCAGATCGTCCTCGCCACTCCTCCTTATCCTCCTCCTCCTCCTCCTCCTCCTCCTCCTCCTCCTCCTCCTCCCTCTCCTCTCCCTCCTCCTCGTTTGTTTATCCCCCATCACCTTCTCCTCCTCCTCCGTTTCCTCGTCCGCCTCCTCCGTTTTCTGGTCACCCCGACTTCCTGCTCCTCCTCCTCCCCCTTTATCCTCCTCCTGTTCCTCCCCCTCCTTCTCCTCCTCTTTCTCCTCCTCCTCCTCCTCCTCCTCCTCCTCCTCCGTCTCCCCGTCGCCTTCGATGCGCCGCCCATGGCGGCAAGCGCCTCACCAGGATCGTGCACAGTAGGGGACTCCACCTATGGCCCAACCCGTATTCCCGCACGCCCTTTCAGAGGGATCGCGCACCCAGCCGCTCCCGAACGCAAGATTCTCGTCGTCGCGCTGCGAGACAAGAAGTGCCATGAATGGTTTGGGTGGTTTGGGGGTCAGTGTTTCATACGCACCCCCATGGGGAGCCAAATTTGGTTACGCTTTGCTGGTGACGTTCGCGGTGCACTGCGAACGTCGTCACCAAATAGTAGACAGACCATAATCAAATCATAACCAGATTGGATCGCAACCAAATCGTGACCATACCTGATGCACCGTAACCAAATCGTAACCAAATCTCCAGTTGGCATAACCAAAATCATATCCAAATTGCACTTCGTAACCAAATCTCCCGCAACCAAATCAAAACAAGGCACCCCTCTGCAGCGAAATCGCTTCTACAAGGCGAAAAGCTGGTTACGGACGCGTAGGCAACAAACCATGTGTAAGTTACATTGTTTTGGCGCGCGATTGGTTACATTCTCTTGTCTTGGAGGCGCAGCTGTTGAAAAGCGTCCCAAGGTTGGAAAACCGCTGAGAACCGACTGAAACGTCAGAGGAGGAGAAGGACGTCGCCCTCCCGTTGCTCCTGAGGGGACCCGTGGGCCTCCCAAGCCTCCATAGAGGCCTCCCAAAATGGGGTCGGAGTGGATGGGATCAGAGGATCTCAGCACATCACCGATGCATCGTCGTTGCATCGGCGAGGCATCGGCGAGGCATCGGCGACGTCGGCAGCGCATCCGCGACGTTGGTGTGGAGAAAAGCAGGCTCCACATCGGGCCGCATCGCTGATGCGTCGGCGATGCGGCGCGATCCTCAGACCCCACTCAATCCAGCCCCATCTGGGAAGCCTCGACTCCAGCGCCGTGACCGCCTCCGCCGACCTTCCGGGGTCCCAGGGGCCTCCCTCCGGCATTGGGCCCTGGTCCTCCTCCTTTCCGGCCTCCCCCGCCGAGCTGGGGACGGACGCGGCGGCAGGAGCCTCGCATCCGTGGAACTCGTGCCCGCCAATGTTCTTCACCTCCTCGACGACCGCAGGCGTCTCGACAGAGCCCGAGGCCCAGGGGAGGAGTGGTGGCGGAGGGAGGGCGGAGGAGAGCTCCGGGGGGAGGGAGGAGGAGCTCACAGCGCGCGTTCTCTGCCCCGCTCTTGGGACCTGGGGCTATTGCGGGGGCCCCGTCGTCGCCACGGCTGGATGCGCTTTATGGCCAGGGCGGTGCACAAGCCGCAGAGAAAAGCACACGTTGTGTCCCCCTGCGCACGTGGCAGAGGGGAGGGAGAGCGGAGGATGCCCGAAGTGAGATGTCTTTGGGCGCCTCAGCCCCGTGATGTCCCACTCGAGGGCAGGGCAGCTGTGAGGCAAACCTTGCGGGACTGCTGGAGAGATTCCCAGAAATCCCACTGCCCATGTCCAAGCACCATGTCCTGTCTCGATTGCGACGGCTTCGCTTGAACGGGGAGAGGAGGTGTGACGCTGGGAGGAGGGGAAGGAACAGGGTTGCACAGGCAGAGAATAAGATGGGCAGCAGGGCGTAGGAGAAGGAGGAGGAGGAGGAGAAGGTGGAGGAGGACGAAGGATGGGCAGCAGCACGAAGGAGGAACACCAAAGTGGGAAAAGTCCCAAAAGGCTTCCAGATGGACGATTCCGGAAACACTGCAATCACAATAACTGTTGTATCTTGGACAACAGATGTTTACTTCCGCAGGCTTGAGCCGGCCGTCCGCCAGCTTCCGGCGGAGGAGCCGCCCCAGTTTCGCGTCCGCTAGTTTCCGACGCCTTCCGCCGAGGACGGGATGTCAACTTCGCGATCCCTCGAAGGTGAGACCCTCTCTGGAACTGCCCAGATGGATAACGCGATTCGCGAACTTCAATCTTCGACCCTCGAACTTCGATCGTCGAAGCCATGCCGTCTTCTGATAGGTCTTCTGTGAAGTCTTACCAAGCTTCTTAAAAGGCAGAAGAGTTTTCAAGAACCCCCCCCCGCCTTACTAGAAGGCCGCCACCCTCATACCACACCTACTTCTGCGCGCCGCCGGATGCTGGCTCCTCGAGCGCTCGCGTCTCCTCTCCTTGACGGCACGGGCCGTGGCGTTTCCACACTCGTTGTTTTAAGTGGTGCTTAGACTCAGCAGGACTAGCGCTCAGTGTCCGCAGAGGACAACGTCGTCGTCGACTCCTTCGTCGCCGTCGCGTCGTCGACTTCGCCGTCGTCGACTTCCTCGTCTTCGACTTTGCTGTGGACGGGGGCGTCGCCTGGCCCGACGTCGCCGTGCCCAAATCCATCGTGGGCGGAGGCGGGGCCAGCAGCGCTTTGGCAGACGGCCCGAAACAAACATTCCCATACGACCACCCTTCGGGTGATATGGAGGTTCGGGGGGAGGAAGGGGGAACCCGCGTCTCTTTCAATCGATCTCACATCGATCAAACTATCGATCTCACAACAGATCGCACTATCGATCTCACAACCATGTCTTTGATCGGTCTCAACACGGATCTCACAATCGATAGCACAGTCGATCTCGCGATCGACTCAACAGTCGGAAAAACAATACGCGGGGACATTTTGTTCTAACATAAAACTTGTTCGCGAATCCCTTGCACAAGAAGACGAAGTGCACACGCGCGCGTCGTCGCGCGCGCATGCCGGAATCCTTCAAAATCCTTCGGTGTCGGAAGGATTTCGCAATCGAGTTTCCAAAAAACATACAAAAACACAGGGTTTCGCAAAACTGATGTGCTAAAAAAGTGTACGCGCGAGCTCTTGCGAAATCTTAAGAAAGCCATAGGTTTTCAATATTTTCACAACATGCCACCAAACGGGCTTCGCGCGCGCGCATGTCGAAATCTGTCGAACGCCCTTACGCGTGCGCCGTCGCGAGAATCCTCTGCAAAAAATGGGACGAAGTGCAGACGCGCGCGTCGTCGCAAGCGCATGCCGAAATCCTTAAAAACCCATCGGCTTCGGAAGGATTTCAACATCGTGTGTTCGCAACACGGAGTTTCAACAAAAGCGTGCGCGCGCGCTCTTGCGTCGTCGTCGTCGTCGCCGTCCTCCCTCCTCCCGCGTCGTCGTCGTCGTCGCCTACAACGTCCTCTGTCTTTCCTCGTGTTCGTCGTCGTCGTCCTCTTTGGCGTCGTGGTCGTTTCCGTCGTCGTTGTCGCCGTGGTCGTCCTTCCACCTCCTCCCTCGTCGTCGTCGTCGTCCGTCGTCGGCGTCTCGTCGTCGTCCCTCCTATTTCGTCGCCGCCGTCGTCGTCGTCGTCGTCGTCGTTGTCGTCGTCGTCTTCCCTCCTCCCTCGTCGTTGTCGCCGTCGGCGTCGCCGTCCTTCCTCCTTCTTCGTCGTCCGCGTCGTCGCCGTCCTCCCTCCTCCCTCGTCGTTGTCGTCGTTGTCGTCGTTGTCGCCGTCGTCGTCCTCCCTCCTCCCTCGTCGTCGTCTTCGTTAGCGACGTCGTCGTCGTCGTCTTCGTCGTCGTCGTTGGCGTCGGCGTCGTCGTCTTCGTCGTCGTCGACGTCGGCGTGGTCGTCGTCACCGCCGTCGTCGTCGTCGTCGTCGGCGTCGCTGACCTCGTCGTCGTCGTCGGTGTCGTCGTTGTCGTCGTCGTCGGTGTCGTCATCGTCGTCGTCGTTGTCATCGTCGTCGTCGTCGGCGTCGGCGTCGTCGTCGTCGTCGGTGTCGTCGTTGTCAGTCGTCGTCGTCGTTGTCGGCGTCGTCGAAGTCGTTTCGTTGGAGACGTCGTCGGTGTCGTGGTAGTCGTTGTCGGCGGCGTCGTCGTCGTCGTTGTCGCTGTCGTCGTCGGCGTCGCTGTCGTTGCCAAGTGCCATTTGGTACCCACCGCCACGGTCTTAAGAAATTCTTCAAACCAAGTTGCGGGTGGGTGGGCGGGATGTTTGCGCGAGCAGTGGAGTGAACAACTCACTGCGAACAGAAATTAGATCTCACCATAAATATCACCATCGGTCTCACATTCGATATCACAATCGATCTCACTATCGATCACACGGTCGATCGCAGTATAGATCTCACGAGCGATCTCACCATCGATCTCACATTCGATCTCACTATCGATCTCACAACAAATCTCATGACCGATATCATGACAGATCTCACTACCGACCTCACTCTCGATCTCACAAAATCGGTATCACTATCGATCTCACCATCGATCGCACAATCGAGCTCACTATCGTTTTGACAGTCGGACTCACTATCGATCTCACCAGCGATCTGACGATTGAACGATTGTTCCCACAACAGATCCCACTATCGATCTCCCAATCAATCTCACTCCAGATCTGAACATCGAACGAACATTCGATCTGACATTCGGACCCACTGTCAATCTCACAATAGTTCTCACAATCGATCTCACAATCGAGCTCGCAATCAATCTCAGTATCGATCTCACCGTCGCTCGCACTATAGATCTCACGAGGGATCCCCACCATCGATCTCACAACAGATCTCACGATCAATCTCACATAATCGATCTCACGATCGATCTCACAACAGATCTCATACTCGATCTCACCATCGATCTCACTATAGCTCTCACCGCCGCGCCACCAACAGGACACCCCACGCCACCGACGGGACACCGCCGCGCCACCGACGGGACACCGACGGGACACTGACGCGCCACCGACGGGACACCCTGGGTCACCGCGCGCCAGGGCGGACAACAGGCTATACATACAGCCCCTACACACGGCGGCATCATTCCTCTCGCGCGCCCACGCAGCTTCGCCTCTCCCGCACGCACGACACGAAAACGAAACCGAAACCGACTTCATGGTGGGGGGCTCTCCGTTCCACTGCGATCTCATCCCTTCACCTCTGATCCGCCACCGTGCCTCGAGGCACGAAGTTGAGTGTTCCCCAGGCTTCTAGAGTTCTTTGTGCCTTGATATGGGGCAGGGGACCCAAATGCCCAAAACTTCTTGGCGTTATCGGAATTTCTCTGGCTTCCCCCTCGTGTCTTTTCCAGACGCTACACGGCCCCACGACGGGTCAAGAGGGCCCCAAGAAGCGCCCACAAGAAAGCGAGAAGCCTCCAAGACGGCGCGGCAGCGCTCCAAGACGCCCAAGATGGCCCACAAACGGCCCAAGAGGTCCCACAGACGCCCAAGACACAGAGCCCACCCCACAGGTCCCCGATATGCCCACATCCTTGATTCCCAAAAAGATGTGTTGAAGGATTTTCAAATTCTCACCTCCAAGTGCCCCAACACTGCCCAGAAGGCCCCCAAGATCGTCCCAAGAGGTCCAGAATAGCGCTCCCAGACGGCCCATTATGACCCCAAGACGACCCAGGAGGCCCCCCAAACGGCCCAAGAGAGTTCCAAGAGGGGCACAACAAAGACGCCACATACGAGGAACACGGGCCGACATTTTGGGCCCTTCGCCCCGTGATGGCCACTGAGACCACCAGCGGGCCCCCCCAACAGGCCCCCCCCCCACGAGCTCTGGGAGGCCCCCGAAAGGCCCCCAAAGACACCCCAAAACCGATCCGGGAGAGTTCCGAGAGGCCTTCCAATTTCAGCTGCCCGATACGCAGCACGCAACACGTAGCGTATTGATACGGAGCTCAACACGTAGACTGAAGCCGTAGGTTGTCGCGACACGTTCGCCAAAACGTGGGCCAATACGCTGAACCAACACGCAACGTATTGACACGGACGTTTGAAGCACGGTACATACGCGTTGCGTGCCAAAACGGGCGTATCGAGGCAGCTAGGCTCCTTTTTTTCCGGCGCGATGAAATTGGACAATTTCGTGAAATGGTGACTCCTCTCTGCAGACTCTGCCGTGCCCTCCAGGGGCCTCTTCCCTGGCCACATACTAACGGCTCTGGGGATGCAGATTTCGCGAGCGGAGACCAAGCTCCGTGACTGACACGCACACTTGAAACCCAGCCAAAGGGAGAGGGGTAGGAAGGGAGGGCGAGGCGGGGAAGCGGGGGATCCGGACAGCAAATTCCCGCATTCATCCCGTCGGCGCAACAAGGTGAGCAGGGCTACGCTGCGTCACTCAGTGCATCGGGCCGCGTGGACGGCAGCAGCAACAGCAGAGAGAGGGAAGCAACAGCAGACGCGGAAAGCAACGCGCAGCAGCAGGGGACGGGAGGCAAGGAAACTGCCGGCTAACTCCTGAGTGAAACAGAAGCAGAGGCAAATCAGCCAGAACAGGAGGAAGCAGGAGGCAACGAGGGGAGGGGACGGATGGGGAGAACAACTCGCGCGTGTGCAAGACCCTCTCTGGCGTCCTCGCTCCTCTCCCCTTCGCATCCTTTGCGAGGTTTTTTTTAGAAGGCTGCCTGCACCACAGGTGTGCTCGCCCAGCCTCCCCCGCCCCTACGCGGTAGGTCTCGGGATGGCTTCGTTGGGCACACCCTACCAGAACTATACGTGTACTTGCCGACTCGCGTTGGGCCCTTGTGCGTACACTAGCGGAATATATCTGACTGGCCTTAGGCAGCTAGGCTCCCTATAGATCCCCCAATACATCCCAGAGACCACCCACTACCCAGGCACCGTGGCGGGATGGGCCGAAGGCCACAATGTTGATTGAAAGGTCCACGCTGATTCTCGTCCCACGTCACGTTGCTTCGAGCATTGCGCCACGCGGTGCGCAGGTCAAATCTTCGCGCCCTCGCGCCGCCCCCTGGAGAAAGAAGGCCAGTTCAGCGGCCTCGGCCGCGACGCGCGAAACGCGGTCATCTTCGCGCCTCTTGGGACAACCCAGTTGCTCTGGGCTCGGCACTGGACCCCCCTCGCCAACACCTCGTCTATCGCGCGCACGCGCGGAGCGCGCGCTGGGGTGACGGCGCCAGAGCCGCCGACAGAGGCGTGTGCGCAAGAGTCCAGCACTGACACCAAACAGAAACGCGGGGACCTCCAAGAGGCTGCACCCGCATGTGCTCGTGTCGTCTCCTGGGCTCACTGGTGACCTCTGGTCGGTGGCCTTCCGAAGCCCGGAATCGCTCGCGTCGCGACCTGCACCGCCGCCGGAACCTTCGCCGCTGCCGCCGTTGATGTCGCAGCCGCCGCTGCCACTTGCGACTCTGCAGCGGAAGCTCGTACATCGATGACCCACAAATGCCGCTCGGTGCACCGCGTGCTCCTCCTGCTCCTGGCCTGCCCTCGCGACCGCTGCCGCCGCTGCCGCCCTCGCCTTCGTCGTCGCCGCCGCCGCAGCCGCCGTCGCCCTCTCTCTCGCTCGCGGCGATCCGCCCCGCGAGAGGGTCGGGCAGCGGCGTGGGGCACGATGGAGCCTGCGGCTCCGGCGCGGCCGTGGACGTCCGCCGTGGCGGCTCCCGCGGCGGCGGCAGCTTCTCACTGCGGGGGGGGGGGGGCGGGGCTGGCAGGGGCGAGGGCCAGGAGGAGAAGGAAACAGTGTTCAGTCCGTACTCGCGCGACGAAGTGTACGGTGGGTTCACCGTATATGAGAGGTATATCCTGCAGAGATGGCGCTGTGTGCACTCAGTGTGGCGCTTCTCCATGACAGAAAATGCAACAATGAAGCGCTGGACGAAGCGGACATCGAAAAAACGATAAGTCCCACCTGCCCTCTGCCGTCTCTCTGCCAGAATCCCTCCTTCCCCTGCTCGGGGGAGGGGTGCATCACTGCTCCTTCTTAATTGCACCCCCTCCCGCACCCGACTGTGGGCCACTCACGACCACTCTGCCTTGGTTTTTGACAGGGGCGGCGGGGGGGACGGCATGCTGTGTGTTGTGCGCAAGCCGACCGTCCCTGTCAACAAACAATTTAGAATGAATGCGCTTTGCCTCCAAATCTGGAGCATGCGCGGGCGCCCCGCGACCAGTCGGCGGGCGCCCCGCAAGCACTCTGCATTGGTTTTCGAAAGGGATAGCGGGGTGCTGGCATATTGCTTGATGCGCGCAGGCCGGACATCCCTGTCGCAAAAACAATACAGAATCCACCCGGTGACGGCTGTGCAATGGCGCACCTCGCACGCACTGCGCGCGCAGAGAACGTAGCGCACCTGGTGCGGCTGGAGCATGTGGCGCACTTGGCGCTCGTGGAGTACGTGCCGCACCTGCCGCGCCTCGCACGCTTGGGCCTCCAGCGAACGCATGGCGCACATGGCATGCGTGGCGCTCCTCGGCGATGTGCTGAGACTCGGGTACTACTTACGTGTTGGGAGGGCGGGTGGGAGTGAGCGAGACGGCGTGCGGTCTTGGGGGTGGCCTCGATCACTGTTCCCTATTAATAAACACCCCCTCCCCCAGGCGACTGGTGGCCAACCAGGGTCCATGCCGACCCCCCCCCACCATCCCATGCAACAGACAATACAAAACACACTCTGCCTCAAAATTCGGAACATGCGCCGCCAACCCGATGCGGCCCCCCCCACCACCATCCCTGTCAAAAACAATACAGAGTACACTTGGCGGCGGCGGCGGCGGCGGCGGCGGCTGCGGCGGCGGTGGCGGCGGCTGCGGCGGCGGCGGCGGCGGGCGGCGGCGGGGGCGGGGCGGCGGCGGCGGCGCGGCGGCGCGGCGGCGGCGGCGGGCGGTGGCGGCGCGGCAGCGGCTGCGGCGGCGGGCGGCAGCGGCGGCTGCGGGCGGCGGCGAGAGGCGGGCTGTGGCGACTGCGGTGTGGGCTGAGGGCGGGTGGGAGTGGGCGAGACGGCTTGCGGGCGGGGAGGGGGTAACTTGACCCCTCTCCCTACCCCCTCCCCTGGGCCTTGGAGGGAGGGGGCCGCGACCCATTGGGGCGCACAAAATGGCCGAGGATGGCTACACGAGTGCCTTAGAAAGCCCAACATGTCCTCCAAGATGGCCCAAGATAGCCGAGCATGGTTCAATATTGCCTCCGACATACCTCTGAGAGGCCCTAAGGCGGTTCCAAGCGCCCCTCGAGCCTTCCCAGGCACCTGCCAAGAGGCCCAAATCCTCCAATAACCTAGAACCAATGTTGTTTGCCTTCTCGCGTTTTCGTTTCCGATAAGCTTTTGAGGTCTCAAGATGGCCCCAAGATGCCCAAGAGAGCCCCAAGAGGGGCCCAAGAGGGCCCCAAGAGCGTTCCAGGAGCGGCCCGAGAGGGCCCCAAGACGTAATTGTGTCTCCGAGGGAGGCCTGAATTCAGGATCCCCCCCTCTTTTTGAACCATGGGGCCCAAGAGGCCTCCCAGACCCTTCTAATGAGCCCCAAGAGGGCAGCCCCAGAACCTCTCACAACAACATATATCCAAAGCCCAACGTCTCATCCTCTTTGTCATCGTCCGTTCCTTCCCTCCTCCTTTCCTGCCTCCTCCCTCCTCCTCCTCCTCCTCCTCCTCCTCCTCCTCCTCCTCCTCCTCCTCCTCCCCGTCCTCCTCCCCGTCCTCCTCCCTTTCTCCTCATCCCCCTCCTCCTCATAATCATCGTTCTCGTGCCACATTCCTCCTCCTCCTCCTCCTCCTCCTCCTCCCGGCGTGCCATGGTTATGGAGGATGGGCTGGAGGTTGGTGCTGGGGGTGGTGACGGGGACGAGGGGGACGACGACGTGTCGCTCCTGTTTCTCTATGGCCTGAGGTGGCCCCCATTTAGCCTTTCACCTGCGGGCCCATGGCTTCTTGAAGTGCAAGTTTGACACCCCCAAAGCTCGCGGGTTTTGGCTACGTGTTTGTTATCGCTGTGGCGCGTACTGTGTGGGGGGGCCAGCGATGCGGGAGACCTGCTGAGGCCGTCCCGCGAGCGCTGGCATCAAGGGCCAGCTGAGGCGCATCAAAAATGGCCGCCACCCGCACTATCGTCACTCGTCTAAGGACCTGACTCTAAGCCTTCCTGGGCCGTTGGGTGCTGAGGACAGGGAGGCTTTGAGTCAGGCAATGCCTGCTGCCGCGGAGCTGCCTCAGGCGCACTGCGAGGCGGGGCGTCCCGCCCCCGATTTTGTTCCAGGGTCGGGCTACGCCAGTCAGGATGTGGTCCTCGCTGCGTTCGGTGTGCGACGCGAGGACCTTGAACGTGCCGAGGCTCTCGGCCAGACGTCCAGGCGGAGCGGGTCTGATGTGGAGTCGGACTCGGCCGCGTCGGACAACGAGGTGTTTTAATGCACCTGACTGGATGTAGCCCGATCAACAACAACAACAACAACAACAACAACAACAACAACAACAACAACAACAACAACAACAACAACAACAACAACAACAACAACAGCAACCTCCTCCTCCTCGTCCCCCCCTCCTCCTCCTCCTCCTCCTCCTCCTCCTCCTCCTCCTCCTCTTCCTGCTCCTCCTCCTTCTCCTCTTCTCCTCCTCCTCCTTCTCCTCCTCCTCCTCCTCCTCCTCCTCCTCCTCCCCCTCCTCCTCCTTCTCCTCCTCCTCCTCCTCCTCCTCCTCCTCCTCCTCCTCCTCCTCCCCTTACCCGCTACCCCCAAGATGGTCTCAGGAGATCGATCATGTCTCAAGATACCCTTCGACAAACCTCCACGAGGCCTCACGACAGCCTCAATATGGTCGGAGTTAGCTGGGCATGTCTCAGGATTATTTCTGACAACCTCTAGCCGAACATGGCTCAATGTAGCCTCCACTTGATGCGCTGTCAGAAATATGGCCATCCCTTAGTGATGAAATAACTACTTCCAAAGGAGACCAGAACTCGGACAGACTCCCAATTAGACTTAGTTTTTTTTATCATCGCACGGGCAACATCAAGCGGTAGCCAGCGGGCGTCACAATAGGAAACATGACTGGCGCACGGCTGTCCACAACTATGTCGCATTCAGCATCATCGATATGTTTGCCCGAGCTGGGAAGGTAGACGTCCTCTGTGTAAACAACAGACGGCATCCCGGACTACACTTCTCATGCATTGCGTGGGCCAATAGCGAGTACAAGGCAGTGTAGCAGAAAACTCGAAGGCACCGGGAACACGGAGCAGGCAATCCTGCCCACAACCTTGAACTGCGAATGAACTCTTGCACGGTCGGTCACCAGGACAAAGACAATAGGCATCAACCACATGACGACCACAGAAAGCTCAATACATACATAATTATCTACCGGTGGCACAGTATCTCGTCAAACGTGGTGCGCAATTCTCCGCGTAGCCTAGCTCTGCGTCCGCATGTAAACTTCAGCTGCCCTGATTCATTCGTCCTGGCATGTGCAACCAACCCATCGCGATGCCAGGCCCTAGCGCGTTTGGAAGGGATCAAACTGGCTCGGGGCCATGGTTAAACACTTGAACCACATCTTGGGCCAAAAAGGTTTGAGCCAAAATTGCGGGCGGGGGGCAGGAGGTGGACGACGAAGAAGAGGGAGGGCGAGACAGAGGATGCGGAGGAGGGGCGTGCCAGTGCGGAAGAGGAGGTGGGGCGGAAGGCGGAAAAGAGTGATAACCGGAGGCGGGTGGTGGGGTGGGGCGTGTGGGGGTTGGGGGGTGGGCGGGGTGGTGGAGTGGGGGGCGTGGAATGGGTAGGGCGGGGGGGGGGGCTCACAAGACTCGGGACCCGTGCAGGAAGGGGCCGCTTTCCTGCAGCTGCTCGGCGCCGTCTCGCGCAAGACTGGCGCTATCCTGCAGCTTTCTCCCGCGCCAAGCCGGACAACGAACGCACGCCTGGGCACCTGTCTCGGTGGCACCGGCCCTGGCAAGCACAACCTGGGAGGCCTGCTCGGGAGGCTGGGCTGTCCGGCCCCAAGAGGCAGGGCCAGCTTGGGAGGAGGGGCGGAGCGAGGGGGCAGCGTTGCGCTGGACACACATCCCAGCCCAGTGCACCTCTTGCTCCCTCCTCCCTCGTCAACGGCCTGACGACGTCAGCTGTCCCTCGACTCACGCTGGAGCGTCCACGATTTGTCTCGGGACTGCGAAACGTCTCTGGATTTACCTCGATTTGTCTGAGCTTCGCGTAGCACTGCTGGAACTCCTCCTGCCAGCGCGGGCCCGCGGGGCAGAGCCGCGGCGCGCGCGGGGCCGCAGCGCGCCGGGCGCTCCATCGCTCCCCGATGCGGAGGGCACCCGAAGAGGACGCTGGCCAGATAACCCCCCAAAATCAGCACTCTGGATTTGCCTCGATCTGTCTGGCTTTGTCTCGGACGGCTCGGCTTGATCCCCGCAGGTCCACGCAAGAAACGTCGTTAAGTCCTTGGGGACCCCTGCTGCCCTCCTCGCATCCGCTGCCTCGTGCGCGGAAGTTTCTGGCGGCGGCCAGCGAAGCAAGCTAGACTGGCTTAGGGGGGTTTGGGACGCTCGGAGAAAATTGGCACGCTGCTCAAACAACATAGATATGTTATTCAAAACCGACAGCGGCCGCTGTTGAGCAGGCGGCCATCTGTCTCAAAGGGAAAGCCCGCCGTGGCACCAACAGCAAGTCCTTTCAAAATGAACAGGAACTGCTGTAGGTCTTGTACCACTCTTTGCGTATTTACATCGATCGTCCAGAGGGGAGGGCGCACAGCGCGCTCACGCCCCCCGGACCAGGAGCCCCTCGGGGCTCGAACTCATCGACGAAGCGCACAAGAGAACCCCCCGCCCCCAGTTGGGAAGGGCTCGGAGTGCACACCAGGTCGTCTGGTCGAGCAGAGAGCTCGGTGTGTAAAAGCCGAAGCGTCCTAAGCTAAGGGATGCTGGAGCGCAACGGACGCCTCCGTCGAGCTCCTTGGCTCTCTCTGGCCAGCCCGACGACGTGGTGTATAGCGTCCCCATCCAGCAACATTCGCTTTGAGTATCCCGTGGCAGCACCCAGAAACCAAACAACACTCAGCTCAGACACGCCGATCTGGAAAAAGTCAATCGACTGCACAATCATCTCGAAGCGGGCAGATGGTGCTGGCAGGGGCTCGGAGGCCGCGTGTGGAAAACGAAGGGACGGATGGGGGAGGGGGGACGTGAGGGAAACGCGGGATCAGCCTCGCTCCCTGTGCCAGGGTAGGCACCGAAGAGAAGGGGGGCGGGCTCCACACTTCCTGCCGAGACGGCGGCTCCGAGACGTTCCCCGCCCCGCCTGCCCGTTCCCCGTGTCGTCACGCTGCGCACCCCTCCCTCACTCACGCCCATCCTGCCTCCCCATGCACAGCTCCGATGGTGTGGGCGACACCGCGAGGGCCTATTGCCATGTCGGGAGTTCGCGCGTAATGATCCGTTCGGGGTCCTGCATACCGTGAGCCACCTGTGGGCTGTTTGAGCCTGCCTTGGGGGTGGGGTGGGGTGTGGGGGGGGGGGGGGGGGCGAACCTCGGTCGCTGGGTGGGATCGGCGACCCACGCAAACTGGATGGCCCCGATCGACTCTGGGCCCGAATCGGCGATCCACGATAACTGCTAGCCACGAACGACTCTGGGCCCGAATCTGGGTACCACCACCATCACTCAGCTCGCTCCTAACCAACTACTTTGCTTGGTGATGGTACATGTTTCTCCGCTTCCGCCACTGAACTCAACGAGCCCGATGATGAGCAGCCCGAACGGTAGCGCTGGGTGTCCTAAGTGAGCACGCACCCCCCAACGTGTCCGAGTGGGGTTTAATCGCTGGAGCTCCAGGAGATCTGGTATACTCTGGCAAGTCCTGGAACAGTATGCCTGCATACTCAGCAACAACAGAAATCTCATAGCAAGTCGGCATGGTCACCCCTCTGGTCACCCGCATGGTTTCCGATCTGGTCTCTTGCATGGTCTCCCGTGTAGTCTCCCGACTGGGTTCCCATGTGGTCGTCCGTATGATCAATCGTCTGGTCATCAGGTAATTAAGAATCTCCGTGATGAATCTGGTGGCACAAGGGTACTCTTCATATGCCTACTGCACAAATCTTTACAACACAAAACTGTTACTGACAGGACGTCGGACATGGCTTCCCCAAAATGCAACGTCGGATCCGTGGCAACCCCACGTCGAGTCAGCGTCGAATCCGCGTTAAGTCCACGTCGAATCCAAGTCGTGTCCGCGTTGGACCAGAGAACATACCAATTTACGTAGCAGCAGAGAAGAGCAGCAGCACCAGCACAAACATCGCGACGAACCATGGGATCCCTCCCTGTCCTATGCTGCGGCATCACACTCGAGACATCTCAGATCTCCAGCTCGGGAGGCATCGTGGAGCTCCGGGCTGGAAGTGGCCCACCCTGCGGTGTTGGTGTCGCTTTTCCCACCCCTTCGAATCCGACTCATAGGACGCACCCAGACCCCCGACGTCGGGATCTTCCTACACCGTGGACCCCCAGGGAGGTCTGAATGCCTTCCCCAGGACTTGTTTCTGTCCCGAACAAGTTTTTGACGGTCCCGGGGCCAGGCGAGGGCCCTGGAGGCCGAAAAATCGTCCAAGGACAGTACGCCTTGTTTTCTTCACGACGTGAAAATGTCTGCTCTGTCCGGCGCGACATCTGAGGGGGGGGAAGAGAGACAAGGCAGGGAGCACTCGAGCCATTTCATTTCTCCAAACTCTGGCTGCCGAGCGCACGCAGTCTCCCCCAGCCTGCCTGGCCCGATACCAACACCCTGGGCTCGGGCAGCAAGGCAACTGCATGTGTCACGGAGTCGGTGCAGGAACGGCAACAAGGAGGGACAACGGAGGAGGAGAGGAGGAACGGAGGAGGGAAGAGAGGCGGAACGGAAGAGGACTAACGACCTGAGGGGTCTGGGGAAAGGTCCCCCCGGGGTGCAACCAGTGATGAGAGGAGGGAAACCCACCCAACAGCGCGTAACCCCCGCCCGCCTCAGCCGCCTCCGGCTCTTCGCACGCTGCGCCAGCCCGGCGGCCTTCGCGAGGGCGTCGCCCAGCCCACTCTCCTTCATCTCCTCGAGGATCTTGTCCAGGAATGCCTGCTCTCGGGGCGCACGTGAGGAGGCAGCTCCCTGGAGGTCTTCGTTCGAACCATTGAGGGCGTGTTAAGCCCGATTGCCTGCTATCGCTCGGATGTCCATTCCCCCTGCATGTTTCGGTTTCGTGTGCTTATTTGTTTGCTAGATGATCCAGGATGCTCCTCGATGGTCCTCGCCGTGAGAAAATGGACACGTCCGAACTATGCCAAGATTATGGGGCATGAGGTTAGATTAGGCCGGACGAGGCCCATGACGAGGCGGAAATGATCTGGATTGACTGACATCACCGAAATTATACCAGATTAGGCCTGGCGCCGATGCTGAATTAAACCTCCCAGGAGTTGCATCCTACAGGCCTCGGGAAAAAAGTAGCGAACACTCATGCCACATTCACCTGTCCCCTCTAATGATCAATGTTGGCGGTGGGTTGAATAAACTGCACTTTGACCGCAGCCTGCCACCCGCGTGCAGACTCTGAACTTGGAAAACAAGGGGGGGAGCGTCCATTGACTGTTCCTCTCTGCCGTATCGCACAAGTGTGGGGGGGCGGGCGCAGAGCACGGGACCAGGACAGGGGCTTAAGAACGGACCGGGCACGAGCCCGCGCTGCTCCTCCAGCTGATCGTGCTCCTCCTGCTCCTGGTCCTGCTCATCATCTCCCCTCCTCATCCAACTCATCCCCATCGTCCTGCTCATATGTTCCTAGTTATCATCCTGTTTCTTCTTCCCTCATGTCCGCCTCTTCCTCCTGACAATATACTGACAATCGAGCGCGAAACCAAACGCAAATCTAAAGCGGTACCCGCCCACACATCATCAACAACACCTAACCATCTTTAAGACGCGAAAGAAGGATTTGTGGGGTAGGCAACGCCGACGGGCGACGCGCATGTCATCCTCCCTTCGCCAGTGCCCGGCCTGGAACTCTCTGGCCGGCACCATGCCCGTGGACGTCGTGTCCATCATCCTGTGGGGAGAGGGTTCTTTCTGCCCATCTTCCTCTTCTTCCAATTCCTCCCTGTCGCACACTGGGGCTCGTCAAAAGGCGGACAGGGCGTTTCGCCTGAGACTTCCCCACCATTTATGGTCGTGAAGCTTGGGATTTGCAAGAGTTTCACAGATGGAGTGCGGCCCGTTTTGAAAATGTGGTTTTCGCAACAGCGCCGCGTAGATTCGTCTTAAAAGTTCCCAAGGGTTTCACTGATGGAAGGCGGTCTGTTTCAAAATGCGGATCTCGTCTCAGCGCAGCGCGCACTCGTTATAAAAGTTTACAACAGCTTCGCGGACGGAAGGCGGTTCGCTCCCAAAACGTGGTGCTCGCCTCAGAGGGCCGCGCAGTTTCGTCTCAAATTTGCAAGAGCTTCTCGGATGGACGGCGGCTGCATTTCAAAATGTGGTTCTCGCCTCAGTGCCGTGCAGATCCGTCTTAAACGCTGGCAAGAGCTTCACGGATGGAGGGCCGTTCCTTTTCATAATGTTGCTCGCGTCTGAACGCCGCGCACATTCGTCTTGAGAGTTCGCGAGAAGTTCAAGGACTCCCACTGTTATCGTAGCACAGATGACGTTTTGATACGATGTCGAAATGTCAGAGCACAGCAATCATTTTGAGTCGCGGTGTTGAGGTCATAGGAACTGCGTCCTGGCACGATTCAGGATCGTCGAGACGTAACAGTAACGGTGGCTTGCGGACATGATTTCCCAATAATGGCGCTCTGGCACAACATCTCCTGATGTCCAAACGGTTGTTTTCCAACTGGGCACTTCCCTCAGTATCAATGAACCAGTGCAAAAGGCCTCTGCAAAAAAGGATCTCGGAAGGAGGGTTCATTGCAACGTCGTTGATGGGTCTTGGGCTTGCACTGGTCCTCTTCCTCCTCCTCTTCCTTTTGCATAATTCGCCGCGTCGGCCCAAGCAAAAAGAGCTCGCCCGAATGTTTCTCCGACGCGGCTAACTCGGGCGGTCCACGGGTGGCGGGGAAACAGCCCTTTTGGCCTGGTGGGAAGTGTGCGAGGGTGTACGGAACAGCGTTCGCCAACAGTGCCTCCGTTCCCACTGCCTGCGCCGTGGCAAGCAGGTTCCGAAAAGAGTGCTCGAAAAGCGAAAGCAGATTCAAAATGGTGGTGAAGAGTCGAGAGCTCCATGGCACGCCAAGAGCAGGCGGGGGGACGGCCCGCCCGCGTCAGTATTACGACGCCGAGACGAATGACAACACCAAGCAGCGCCAGCTCCGGTGGATCAGGCAACGGCGAATACTACGCTCGATACCGTGGCAAAAATGCGCACGGATAAGATATAACTTTATGGCCCGCCCAACCAGGCGCAGAGCATGGTGCAACTCTGGGACAATGCAGTGCACGGCAAGGACAAACCTGCCGACAACCAACCTGAACAACTCATGGAACTCACCTCGCTCCACCTGGGACAGCTCCTGGAAGACACGAACAAGAAATTCCGCAAGTACGGTGGGAAGCCCAACAAGAGAGAAAATAAACACCATATTCAGAAAACCCTTGCCAACCGTGACGCGGAGAGATTTTGGACAACCACATGCTCAGGAAACACCAGCTCGAAAATGCCAAGACCAAAGCTTGCCTCCGCGAGCTGGAAAGTGGGACAGCAAATCCACATTTGCGGCTCTGTGACAAGGTTGCAGAGATACGGCAGACCGTTGTCGGCAACCAGGTTCCTGCTACGCCAGTAGTAGCTGGCGGAAGATGCAGCGCGCAGGGAAGCAAGGCCACGCAAGCGTATTGAAGGCGCTGGTGGTGATGTGTCTTCACGAAGTGTGTGTGTGTGTGTGTGTGTGTGTGTGTGTGTGTGTGTGTGTGTGTGTGTGTGTGTGTGTGTGTGTTTGTGTGTGTGTGTATGGTGCACCAAATTGGTGGGGATGCGCATGCAAACTGCGCCACGGAAGCACTCGGATGAGCTCCCGGTGGGCGCACGGAGCGTGTGAGAGGTGTGACGAAATGGGCAGTGCCGATGATGAAGGGGTGGAGGTTGAGGATGAGGATGAAGAAGGCGATCATGGTAATAATGAGGATGGTGAGGATAATGAGGCTCATGATGATGCGGGTGATGAATCCAACTGCGGATGATGCTGGCGGTGAAGCCGATACTGATGATAATGACGGTGGTGGTGGCGATGCTGATGATTATGCGGGTGATGATGCTGATGCTGGTGATGTTAGCGGGGGTGATGATGAGGGTGGTGATGATGGTGACCATGGCGATGACGATGGCGATGATGATGGTACGTATGATGATGGTGTTGATGGTGACGATGATTATGCTGATGATGGTGATGAGGGCGATGATGATGCTGATGCTGCTTGTTGTTGGCGATGGTGATGCTGATGGTGAAGAGGATGGCGGTGGATGTGATGTTAATGCCGCAGCTGATGATGGTGCTGGTGATGGTGGCGGTGGTGGTGATGATGATGGTGGTTGCAGTGGTGGTGGTGATGTTGATTCTGGTGTTGATGACGATGGTGGTGCTAAAAATGATGGTGATCATGAGGTTGTTGTTATTTATGGTGCTGATGATGCTGGTGATGATGCTGGTGGTGGTGATGGCGACGGTGATGATGACGAGGATATTAATGAGGATGCTGACAATGCTGATGATGATGGTGATGGTGATGAAGATGATGATCCCGATCTCCAAAGAAGATCAGAATCACTCAAAAACGAGGTCTTCGGGCCCCCTTCCCAAGAGTTTCCGACCAACCACACCCCAAACTGCATCCGTCTTCTTGCCGATGAGGTGCTCGACGCACGCGTCGCCAGCGCCTGATGACCGCGCCATCAGCGCTCGATGAGCCGCGTCACCCTCCCACCTCTGCGTGCCGATGGCCCACGACGACTTTTCGACGCAATCGTACTGCCGCGTGGCAGGGTCGCAGCAGCTTCCACGTCGACGACCTCGAAGAAGGGCTCGCCCTCGCCAACGGGCGGGGGCATGACCACCTCCTCGCCGTGACAGTTCTCTCCTTCGTCGCTCTTGGAGGGCCCCCCCATGGCGCTCCGCAGCTCGCCGAAGTGCTCCTCCTCGTCGTTCAGCTCGAACCCGATGTCCCCTGGCTCCTGCTACTCTGCCTGCCCTCATGCTCCTCGCACGTGGGCTCCTCGGTGATGCTCGGCGGTTCCCTGCACGACGCCCGCGCGCCGCCACCTTGCTCATCCCCCGCGCCGTCACCCGACACGTGGACCTCCAACTCGTTCTTGTCCTCCTCGTCGCCCATGGTTGTGCACCCCCATGGCGCCCCGCGGCGAGCCGAAGTGCTCCTCCCCGTCATTCAGCTCGAACCCGATGGCCTCGGGTTCCTGCTGTTTTGGCTGCCCCTCACCTCATCACAAGTGGGCGTCTCGATCTCGTCGAAGTGCTCCTCCCCGTCGCCGCCGCTGAGGAATGCCGCGGGGTGGGCCCCTAAGTACTCCGCGATCACGGCACTGCTCTCGGCAGCCGTCGGCACGGCCGCGCAGGCCGTGGCAGCCTCCGAGCAGCCGGGCGGCGGGGGGAGGAGCAGCGGCGGCTTCTGGGCCGCTTCGGCTTCCGCCTCCAGCAGTCCTGCCACCACGCTAGCCGCGGCCCCGCGGGCTTCCGCAGCTCCAGCGCCCGCCTCGGGTAGGCAGGCTTTGGCTGCGTTCTCACTGAGGTACGGCTTGGCGCAAGACCGCAGCGGGGTCCTCGCGGCCGCCGCTCCCAGCTCACGCATCAGCACCCCAACGTCGCAGGGCGGGCACGCCTCGGTAAGGCGCCACCCCGCCGCGAGGCCATCCACGAAAGCTCCAGCTCCCCACACGACGTGCTTCTCGTCGAAAGCTTGCCACTCGCCAGGCCGCAGCACCTCGGCCTGCGGCTCCACGTGCAGCTTCTCGACCCGATGCCTGAAGAGCGACGCCTCCGCTTCGCAAATGGTGACCTCGCACTCGACATCGCACCTTATTGTTGCTGCAGCGGCGGCGCCACCAGACAGGCGGCCTTCGCGATGCGCAGCCTTCAACTCCGACCAGGGAGCCCCAGCCTGCGAGCAACGCTTCGCATGCAGCGAGACGTTCCGAACGAAGCGCTTCCCACCGCTCTCGGGCGCGCCGCTGAGCCTGGGCACCAGGGAGGGCCTGGCTAGAGCCTCATGGCGGGCTGGCTCTGCTTCGACGCCGCCTTCACCGCATGCAGCCCGCTGGTCCAGCACCGCCCGCAGCCTTGCGCCCTCCGTGCGGGCAGCCTCCAGCTCCCTTGCTCAGGCGCCTCACCAAGCGGTCTGCCGAGGCACGCGCCCCCTCGGTTCCTCGAAGGACGCGCGGCGCCTCGCCGTCGCCAAGGCGCCCGCTCCTCGCAGCCATAACCCGGAGGCGGCGGCTACGCGATCCCGCGCCATTTGCCGACACAAGCGAGCTTGAGCCAGCTAGCTTGAGCCAAAATGGCTACGGGTGATGATGATGGTGATGATGATGCTGTTGATGATGATGCTGATGCTGATGCTGATGCTGATGGTGATGGTGATGATGATGATGATGATGATGATGATGATGATGATGATGATGATGATGATGATGATGATGATGATGATGATGATGATGATGATAATGCTGCTGGTGATGATGATGATGGTGATGGTGGTGGTGAGGAGGAGGAGGAGGAGGAGGAGGAGGAGAGGAGGGAGGAGGGGTGAGGAGGTGGGAGGGACGCGGGGCGCTGTGTCTTCAAAACGAAGACCCAACACCAAACACCATATAATAATCCCACAGGGGACGGGGAGGCCCAGACCGCCCAGTCTGGCAGCCGTTTCGCCTGGACTTCCTTACTCAGTAATCGTGGTCCCGCCCCGATGCGGGCTACAGTTCTGGTTTGGACGGCCATGATCCCTTGTAAAAGATGGTACCAACGTGCACATGGCCGTGCTCACACCCCTCTCCTGGCTACTTCTGTCGTAGGGATCCCTAGGAATATCTAGAAAATCACGTTTTCACTATCCGACCTCCTTCTCGTCGACCCGTATCGTCACCTTTGCTGTTAAACTGATGTTTGCTGATGTCGTTTATTATGTCCAGTAACGGCCGTTACGCGGGGTGGGGGCCCGGGGCCCGGGGTAAACAACAAAGCTTGGGCGGCGCGGAGCACGTCGGGGCGGAGGTGCGCTGCGATCGCCATAATACGCGCGCGAGCACCAACATATGAGGGGGGGGGGTCCAGGCCCACCCCCTACGTACGATCTTTTCCGTTACCTGGTGGTGGGGGGCCGCGTAATGACCGCTACGCGCCAGAGGATAACTAGCCTGGCAAAAGACCCGACCATTCGCAATTTTGACTAAAGCAGTCGAACATATCCTCGTCGGTGAAGCTCCCATTTGGGCCACGAAACGTATGAGGGATGTGCCGATATGGGTGGCGGTGACGACGGATGCGTTCACTGCCACTGGAGCCTTCGGTGGAACTCCCCCACGGGGTCACGAAACGCTGTATTGGGTGGCGGGGACGCTTGCGGGCTGCGCCGCTGGGACCTTCGGTGGAGCTCCCCATGGGACCACGAACCGTGTGATGCTGTGCCGACATGGGTGGCGGGTACGCATGCGGGCTATGCCACTGGGACATCGGGTGGGGCCCCCATATGGGTCCACGAGACGCGTGAGGGTGTGCCGAAATCGGTGGCGGGGACGCGTGCGTTCTGCGCCACGGGGTCCTTCGATGGAGCTCGCTATGGGGCCATTAAACGTGTGAGGGTGTGCCGAAATAGCTGGCGGGGGCGCATGCGGGCTGCGCCATTGGCACCTTCGGTGGGGCTCCCGAGGGCCACGAAACGTGTGAGGGGTGTGTCGAAGTGGGTTGGGAATCGCATGTGGGCTGCGCCGACGGGACCTTCGGTGGAGCTCCCTATGAAGCCAAGTAACGTGAGAAGGTGTGCCGAAATAGCTGGCGGGGACGCACGCGGGCTGCGCCATGGGGTCCTTCGGTGAAGCCCCCCTATGGGGCCACGAGACATGTGAGGGTGTGCCGAAATGGGTGGCGGGGACCCATGCGGGCTGCGACACTGGAAACTTCGGTGGAGCTCCCTATGAAGCCACGTAACGTGAGAGGGTGTGCCGAAATGACTGGTCGGGACGCATGCGGGCTGCGCCACTGGGACCTTCGGTGGAGCTCCCTATGGGACCACGAGACTGCCGAAATGGGTGGCGGGGACGCATGCCGGCTGCGCCACTGAGACCTTCGGTGGAGCTCCTATGAGGTCGCGAAGCGTGTGAGTGTGCCGAAATGAGTGTTGGAGACGCATGCAGGCTGTGCCACGGAGTGATTCGGTGGAGCCCCCTTTATGAGGCCACGAAACGTGTGATGGTAGGCCAAAATGGGTGGCGGGGACAACGCATGCGGGCTGCGACCTTCGGTGGAGCTCCCTTATGGGCCACGACACGTGTGAGGCTGTACCGAAATGGTGAGGATGGTGGTGGTGGTGTTGTTGTTGGTGGTGGTGAGAACGATGATGCTGATGCTGATGCTGCTGCTGCTGATGATGATGATGGTGATGATGGTTATGATGCTGGTTATGATGGTGGTGGTGATGGTGGTGATGCTGATGCTGGTGATGATGAGGTGGCGATGATGCTTCTGCTGATGATGATGGCGATGATGCTGGTGAGGACGATGATGCTAATGATGATGTTGATGTTGATGCTGCTGATGATGATGATGGCGTCAATGCTCATGGCGATGATGATCATGGGAATGGTGATGCTTATGATAGTGAGTATGATGGTGCTGCCGAGGATGATGATGATGATGATGATGATGATGATGGTGGCGATGGTGATGATGATGATGCTGATTATGATGATGATGATGATGATGATGATGATGATGATGATGATGATGACGCTGATGATGCTGCTGATGATGATGATGATGATGATGATCATGATGAGGGGCAGCGGGCGGAAGAGAAGGAAGTGGGGCGCTGCTTCTTCACAACGAGGACCTGACTCCACAAAATGACTGGGAACAAACACGGCATAGAGACACTTTCTAGGCGACGGAACAGGCTGGTGAGAACGAGGAGCAACCCTGGAAGGAACAGGAACCATAGTTCTGGACCCCAAATGCTTCTGCGATGACCGCGCCCAAGAGTCCGTCGTGCAAAGCGACCAGCGACAATGGGAACCCACGATGTCCTGCTTCGTCAAGATTGGGCGGCGCTGGCCCTGCAAAACACGCATTCTGCAGAAGAGCGCATCGGAGTATGTAGCAGCAGGAAAACTAGCAGCGGCAGCGGCAGGACGAGCATGCGAAAACGACCGAGGATGAAAACGGACTGGGGGCAACTCCTCCTTGGAGAGATCTTCGTGGTAATGATTATGGGGTACTAAACCGATCAAGGGGCCAGGCCACTGAGCCGAATTAGCCCCAATGAAACCCAACATTACGGATGAAACGTTTCAAGTTGAAATTGTGCAGGATTTGGCTGGTTCTCGCAGCGCCGATGCTGAGTTGCACCCCCCAGAGGTGCATACTAAAAGCGGTGAGCGACTCTAGTGCCCCATGCGCAACTGGCAGAACCCGATCCTGTATATCTCGGAGGTGTTGAAGCCCGTGAGCTCCTTCGGGTCGATCCGCATGACCCTGCGACCCGCGACGGGGGGGGGATGCCGACGCTGAGCAAAGGGGAAGGAGAGGCTGGAGGGAGGAGAGAGGATGAGGGGCGCGTGAGAGTAAGTAGGAGAGAAGAGAGAAGATAATACTCCCCCGTCCCCCTTTCCGCCACTCCAATCAACATCATCCTCCTCCTCCTCCTCCTCCTCCCTCCTCGGTCTCGTGTGCATCCTTCTCGTCCTCCTCCACTGGCCCTCCCCCCTCCGCTCATCCGCTGCCTTCTGCCCCGCCACCTGCTCCTCGTCCTCGTCGCCCTCGTCGCTCGTCGCCCTCGTGCCCCTCGTCGCCCTTGCCGCTCGTGCTCGACGTCCTCGTCGACCTCGTCGCCCTCGACGTCCTCGTCGCCCTCGTCGCTCGTCCTCCGCCTCATTACCCCGCTCCACGTCCTCCACCCTGTCGCCCTCCAGCCCTTCAGCCATCGCCCCCTCCGCCCCCCCACCCTCCTCCCCGCATGCCTCTCCTCGTGAGGAAAATTACCCTGTGACGTACCCAACCCAGTTGTACCATGGGAAACGAGGAGTTGGCCGAAACTTGCATGGACAATCAAATTGCAGGATCCGTTGTTTGATATGTAAGCTACTTGGGACACGCGTCTATAGCATGATGCGCAGGAAAACCATACAAGAACGAGGGGCGACTACTACAGGCTCGAAGAGGACATGGGGAGTCGGGAACGAAGAGCAGGAGAAAGACGTGCGGGAAGCCCACTGTGCTGGGCCCCCCAGCAGGCCTCGAAAGTGGCGACAGTTTCACAGATCGCAGCCCCCCAGGGATGGCGAGGTCCAATTTGAGTCCGCGGTGACTACCCACTGTGCTGGGCCCCCCAGCAGGCCTCGAAAGTGGCGACAGTTTCACAGATCGCAGCCCCCCAGGGATGGCGAGGTCTAATTTGAGTCTGCGGTGGGTACCCACTGTGCTGAGCCCCCCAGCAGGCCTCGAAAGTGGCGACAGTTTCACAGATCGCAGCCCCCCAGGGATGGCGAGGTCTAATTTGAATCCGCGGTGTGTACCCACTGTGCTGGGCCCCCCAGCAGCCCTCGAAAGTGGCGACAGTTTCACAGATCGCAGCCCCCCAGGGATGGCGAGGTCTAATCTGAGTCCGCGGTGTGTACCCACTGTGCTGGGCCCCCCAGCAGGCCTCGAAAGTGGCGACAGTTTCACAGATCGCAGCCCCCCAGGGATGGCGAGGTCTAATTTGAATCCGCCGTGTGTACCCACTGTGCTGGGCCCCCCAGCAGGCCTCGAAAGTGGCGACAGTTTCACAGATCGCAGCCCCCCAGGGATGGCGAGGTCTAATTTGAGTCCGCGGTGTGTACCCACTGTGCTGGGCCCCCCAGCAGGCCTCGAAAGTGGCGACAGTTTCACAGATCGCAGCCCCCCAGGGATGGCGAGGTCTAATTTCAGTCCGCGGTGTGTACCCACTGTGCTGGGCCCCCCAGCAGGCCTCGAAAGTGGCGACAGTTTCACAGATCGCAGCCCCCCAGGGATGGCGAGGTCTAATTTCAGTCCGCGGTGGGTACCCACTGTGCTGGGCCCCCCAGCAGGCCTCGAAAGTGGCGACAGTTTCACAGATCGCAGCCCCCCAGGGATGGCGAGGTCCAATTTGAGTCCGCCGTGTGTACCCACTGTGCTGGGCCCCCCAGCAGGCCTCGAAAGTGGCGACAGTTTCACAGATCGCAGCCCCCCAGGGATGGCGAGGTCTAATTTGAATCCGCCGTGTGTACCCACTGTGCTGGGCCCCCCAGCAGGCCTCGAAAGTGGCGACAGTTTCACAGATCGCAGCCCCCCAGGGATGGCGAGGTCCAATTTGAATCCGCCGTGTGTACCCACTGTGCTGGGCCCCCCAGCAGGCCTCGAAAGTGGCGACAGTTTCACAGATCGCAGCCCCCCAGGGATGGCGAGGTCCAATTTCAATCCGCCGTGTGTACCCACTGTGCTGGGCCCCCCAGCAGGCCTCGAAAGTGGCGACAGTTTCACAGTGCTGGGCCCCCCAGCAGGCCTCGAAAGTGGCGACAGTTTCACAGATCGCAGCCCCCCAGGGATGGCGAGGTCCAATTTCAATCCGCCGTGTGTACCCACTGTGCTGGGCCCCCCAGCAGGCCTCGAAAGTGGCGACAGTTTCACAGATCGCAGCCCCCCAGGGATGGCGAGGTCCAATTTCAATCCGCCGTGTGTACCCACTGTGCTGGGCCCCCCAGCAGGCCTCGAAAGTGGCGACAGTTTCACAGATCGCAGCCCCCCAGGGATGGCGAGGTCCAATTTCAATCCGCCGTGTGTACCCACTGTGCTGGGCCCCCCAGCAGGCCTCGAAAGTGGCGACAGTTTCACAGATCGCAGCCCCCCAGGGATGGCGAGGTCTAATTTCAATCCGCCGTGTGTACCCACTGTGCTGGGCCCCCCAGCAGGCCTCGAAAGTGGCGACAGTTTCACAGATCGCAGCCCCCCAGGGATGGCGAGGTCCAATTTCAATCCGCCGTGTGTACCCACTGTGCTGGGCCCCCCAGCAGGCCTCGAAAGTGGCGACAGTTTCACAGATCGCAGCCCCCCAGGGATGGCGAGGTCCAATTTCAATCCGCCGTGTGTACCCACTGTGCTGGGCCCCCCAGCAGGCCTCGAAAGTGGCGACGGTTTCACAGATCGCAGCCCCCCAGCTGGCACGCAGCGACGAGCGAAGGCAGGGGGGAAGAGAGGGGCGGGAAGGAAGGAAGGAAGAAAGGAGACGCGCGAGCAGTGCTCTATTCAAAACGAGAACCCAACGCAGGAGGGTTGGGAATAAGCAATTCATTGCCCGCGGCCTCGCGCGCTGGGCCCCTGGCGGGCTCTTTTCCTCGCGGGCGCCCCCGCGCGGGACGCATCCGTGCGGCTGCGCAACCGCGGTGCCGCGCCCCGGAATCCAGACCGCGAGGGCGCGGATACGGATACGTCCGCCGCTAGTGCCCCCTTCCCGCGCCCGCGCCCCCCCCTCCAGTCCTCCGGCACCGTCGCGCGCACCTCCAAACCTTCCCCCCCCTCTTGCGCCCTGGTGCGAGGGTCCGACCTTCCGGGGACTGACTCTCTTTCTCTGCTCCACCACTGGCCCAACAGGCAGCGGCGCCCCTGCTGCTTTTCCCGTTCCCACGCCCCTTGCGCCCGTGAGCCCCCTCCCGCTGCCGCGGACGCCGCCGCGCCCCCGGCCTCGTCGGTATTTCGGCGCCTCCCCGCCGCGCCCTCGCGAGCGGCCCCACCCCCCGCACACGGGCCCCACACGCCCGCGCTCCTCCCCACGGGCTGCCACCCCGCCGCGGACGCGGGCGGGCGGCGAGGCAAGCGGGGTACTACAGGGGGGGAGGGCCCGGGGGGACGGGGAGCACGAAGGCCCCACCCGCCCTGCGGCCATCCCCCCCCCTTTTCATCCTCATCCGTCTCGGGGGGGGGGGGACGAGGAGGAGAAGGTTGAGGAAGAGGAGGCGGCGGCGGCGAAGCGGTATCGGGCCGCATGTTTCCTTGCTAAACGAGGCAACATAGCTGGACACGCCGATTACAGTATGTGTTTGAGGAAGAGGGGGAGGAAGAAGAGGAGGAGGAGGAAGAAGAGAAGAGAAAAAAAAGGAGGAGGAGGAGGCGGAGGAGGAGCATCGAGTGTCGAGTTATCCAACAAAGCCGTTAAAGAGATTAAAGGCCACGGCTTTGCTGCTCAGCCTTGCTAAGCTGCTTCGGCCGTAGACCCGCCGTCAGACGGTTGAGGTACACGCGACGGTGGGGCTTCACACTCTGCTCGCACGGATCTCCGAGACAGCGCAATTGCCGATCTCCGAAGCGTCCACGCGACATACATAACTACGCATGAAAAGGGACCGCTCAAGCCTCATGCTGTGTGTACTGCGCACCTATCCCCCAGCGATGTGGAGCCGCCCCCCCGTGGTAACATAAGCAAACCAACAGTCGATGGTCCGGGAACATAACACTGAGACGGCCAGCAATTATTTGACTCTTTCTGATTCGAAGTCCCGAAGCATACGAGACAGTGCCTACGATCATCCCTCAACCAATGGGTCGAGAGGAACGAGGCAACAGCAGCAGGCGCAGGAGGGGAAGGGGGAGGAGGAGGGGGCCCAACCCTTCTCACGGAGCCGCCCCCGCCCTGATCCTCGGCGAGCTGAGGATCCTCATCCTGACCAGGTAGGCGATGCGCTCGACCTGGAACACCTGACACATGACCTGCTCGGGAACTCTGGCCAACTGCGCCGCCTGCGCGGCATAGGGTTCAACAGTGGCGTTCCCGACTGCCAGCCAAGCTGGCACCTTCTGATCAACAATCTGCTCGGGAGACAAATTAGAGTTGACAAAAAGAACAGACACGAGGCCCATGCGCCGATACATGATTTTGCCGGCGCCGAACCACAAGTCAGCATTTGGCCCCGACGGCTTGTCGAAGATCCGCTCGCAAAATCCAACTACAACCGAAGCGTGATCAGTGACGTAGCACAGGGCACCCGCCGAAGCCTCGAGTGCCAGCACAAAGCCACGCAGCTCCCCACGCGGCACTGTTTGGCGGCGCCCTGCCAATGGGGCCTGAGATGGAGGTTCGCGCGCGGCAGGGCTCAAAAGACTGCAGCACAGTAGTAGCGACTCCAACTCTGGCAAAGCGGGGGTCCTCTGAGGTCCCAACTCCCAAGCAGCATTCCAGCTCCTCCGATTCCGCCCCAACACTGGTCCAAGACTCCTGAGACGGGGGGGGGACGCGAGTGTAGTCCGCTGGTGTGACACCTCTGGGCCACAGGCACGTTTCAGTTTCTGCCTGAGTGCAGGCAGCACTCACCAAGCATTCGCTATCCTTGTATGCCTTGGCCTCTTGATGCGCTTCGCACTCCCATGCTCGGTGGAACATGGATTCACGGCACATCTGACACCTTGGACACATAAACTCCTGTTCTCCTTTGATTTCCTCCTGCCTCCTGCGTTTTCGGCGATGGGCACAAGCAGCTCGGAAAGCCTGCTCCCGTTGGTGACCTGCTGGGTTCTGCGCACCAAACGACGAAGAGGAAAATTATCCACTCCTCTCTCCATCCCTCATCCACAGAAATGAGCCGACGCTCGGCCCCACTGCAGAGCACGCACTGTCGCTTCAAAACCGTTTAGCAAGGGAGTGGGATCGTCCTCGACCAAGCTCCCCTTCAAATCGGATGACGGAAACTTCCATTCAGCTAAATCGCCGCACACGTCGCGGTCGGGTACCATCCATCGATTTGGTTCCATGGGGCCCCATCCAGATTCCAAGAGATACAAAATGACGGCCCCAGTGGGGCCTCGAACATGCCTCGATATTTGCTCAGGTGGTGGCCCACGAGGTTTGGCCAGCAGCTTGGGCCACGCCCGGGAAACACCGCGTCGCAACTTCGGCAAAGTAAACCACTGATTCAGCCACAACTGCAAGCGGGCGCGAGGTAGCGTGTATATCGGATGTCCCCCTGGACAGCGCACATCCGAAAGCGTGGTTAAACGCCGTCCTTTAGCCTCCGTCCCACACGCAGCCCCCATCTGCCTCCTGCACCTCATCATGGCCTCGCCGAAAACGCCGTGGAACTCGCGTGCGCACAGCTCTGCGGCAAGTGTTCCATCGCGCGCGAGCTTGCTGGTGACGCGACGTCGCGCGGCAGCGCAGGCGAGGCCCGCGACTTTGCGATGAAGGGTCTTAGCTTTCAGTATTTGCTTCCTCCGAGTCTGACGGGCGCGGCGTCTTCTACCCCCAAAATCGGCCCCCAGGTGCCCGACTTGAGCGTCGGTTTTCACCTCGAACCCTCGCTGCTGCAACCTGCGTGCAATGTGCCCTGCGTCATCGATGCACGCGCAAAGAACAACTCTCGGGTGACACAGTGAGCTGCTGCTCGCGGAGGGCCAGGCATGCGCCCAGAAGTCACGCTGTCAGCCGATCCCTGAGCACCTTCCTTGATGCGTGCACACGCTGGGACAGATCGTCTGTCCACATGCGCGAACCCATGCCAGGATGTGCGTTGGTGATGTGGACTAAAATAAAATAAATAAGACAGCTTGCAAGCCTCGCGCCTCCTCTGAACCCTTGTGCAATGCTTCTCGTTGGCTGGGTGGGCTCGGCAAACGCTGGGCATTCCTCGCCGCCGCCCTCGCCACTATCCCCGCCACTACCGTCCCCACCACTGTCCCACTGTCCCCACCACTGTCCCGCTGCCCCCTCGCCACTGCCCCCGCCGCCACCGTCCCCGGGCCCGCTGCCTCCGCGCCACTGTCCCCGCCACCACCGTTCCCACCGCTGTCCCAGCATCCCCGGCATTGTCCAACTGTCCCGAGGAGCGAGGGTCGCTTGCCGGCGGCGAGGGAGGGGGGGGGTGCGAACCGGCATAGTGACCCCCCCCGGTTTTCGAGGAGGGGGGGGGGGTTCGAACCGGCAGTAACCCCCTCCCCTTTTCATGATGGACCGGGGGAGGGGCAGGGGTTCGAACAGGCAGCGACCCCCCTCCAGTTTTCGAGAAGGGGGGGGGGGGGTCGAACCGGCAGTGGCCCCCCCCTCGGTTTTCCGCCAGCAGCGGTAGAACGCGCTCTTTCCAATCTATGAGCTGCTGAAGTAAGAAGAAGCCAACCCATGGAATCACAAAATCCCTGGATGTCCAGAAGTCCATGACCAGACGGTACTCCAAAAACTCCTGACCCCCCCTCCTCGACCACCCTCATGAAAGCTACTCGCATGGCAACATGTCCTGAACCAGCGACGCCCCACTCTGGCTCGGACTCTGCGGCCCAAGACATGATAAGTACCCCCCTGGCTAAGCTCCACATTCTGGCAGCCGTCGCAAGAAGCCCACTGACTCGACCCCCGGAGATTTCTTGGGGTAGCAGTCGTCGCATTGTGAGACCGAGCTTCGACGGCCACGCAAGAAACTCTTCAATCGCGCTGCGAAGTTGAGGCAACTCTGCCAGTGCTATGCCTGGCTGGCGCTCGATATCTGCGGGGGACAGTGCGTCTACCCGCATGCCTGCCTCGGGTCGCATTGCGCGCGCCGCTCTCCGAATTTCCTCAACAGACAGTGGACGCAAAAGATCGTCACGCGCAGCCTGGCGGGCTCGGGAGAAGGCGCTCTGGACCTTCCCTTCGCCGGGCTCACTTGTAGCCCGCGGATCGCGAAAGCCATCGGCGTCGCGGTCAACAATGTCTCTGGGGTGGAAGAGGGCCCGGGGCCCAGCAACCACCTCATCGACGGGGGCGGATTCCTGACGAATAGGTTTGCGAAGTGCCCCTGCTGATGTTGACAAAACCATCCACCCTCGGAAATCCGTGAGTTATGCTCTCAGCGCGCGCCGCCGACATCTGCTGGCAATGCGCCCGGCTGCATTTACAGGAAGAATCAGGCCGTGAATGTCATCGAAAGCACCATTCTGGAACAAACTCTGCCACCTATCCCAGGAGGGGCCCGAGCCTCCTCGCGAACCTCTGCGGGCCTGACCGGGGCACTCTTGGAGAAGATGCCAACGTGCTGGCTCAAGCTGCCGTTGCCGCATGCAACCCGACTTCCGAGACCGATGGCTGTCGGGGCGATGCAATGCCGCGTGGGCCTTCTCCCACAACGAAGCGACCACTTCCCGATGCGGCACTGGCCTGCTCTTATTATATACTCGGACCTCGCAGAGATTTGGAACCTGATGCGGGGGTCCTCTTGGGTCGACCGACCTGCAGGGGTCGAGCTGGCAACGCTAATCTCCTAGTCGCAAGCTGCCCCCCTGAGGCCCCGAGGGGCAACTTGAGCCCGCGGTGGGTCTTCCAGGGGGCGCTCGTGAGCGGGGCGATTTCGACGAGATGCACCGCGGCCGCGAAGCTCCGGACAACATAATACATGCGACCACCGCCCCTACCTGCGCCCCACGTGTAATCGATGGGTGCCTGCGCAACCTCGCCCCCCACCTTCGACAGAAGCCCTGAGGCAGCTAAAAGCTAAGGATGTAGAAGAAACAAGAATGTCTCCGGTGACACCCCGAGGTAGTTGGAGGGGGGCGAAGCAAGCCCAGAATTTAGCGAAGCGCAGTGCATTGCTACCAGTCAATCCGATCGCTGCAAGCCCGTTGAAGGTGACTAGCACGAACGAATGTCCTACCGTGTGTACGCGGGCAGCAGTGAAACCGTCTATCATGATCTGACTATCAACTTGGCAGCCGGATAAGTGCTCTAATTGGGGCGCCAGCGCGTGACCCTGCATGTGCCCAGGGGCCATGATCCACCCACCGCCCTCGGTGGCTTTCTCGATGTCAGCTTGACAGACATGCCCGTTCGTTGCCCTAGCGGGTCTGGCAATGAGACGGAGCTTATCAACGCGCGCTTTCCGAAGCCGCTAATTCGGTCCTGCACGCGAGACATGGGTCTCAACAAGGCAAAGCAAACGAAAACGCTGGGTCGAGTGAGCCCCCTGGACGAATTTGCACACCTTGTCCCCCATGGCAGTGACGTTGCTATATACATGCTGCATCTGATTTTCGCTCACCCTGGACACTCGCCCCTGCTCGCGTGAAACTCGCGGCTCAGACTTAGCAGGGCACTCCGTGCCGCAGCTTGCTGAACCTAGTCAACGGTCGCCCGCTGCACCGGCGGCCTCCACCTTGGAAGCCTGCCCTTGTGCTGCGAACTTGGCCTCTGGAATGTCCTGCGCCTCGGCCGCCGCGCTATTGGCCATGGCCTCGTCGGCCTCGCCAACGGCGCCCGCGGCAGGCGCGGCGGCCGCAGCGAGCGCGGCAGGCGCCGCCCGGGGCGCCGACGCCTCGCAACGCGGCGTGCCCGTTGGGGCGCCGACAGGCGTGGCTGGCGCTGCCCGCCCATCGGCCCCGCGCCTCTTCTCGGCGAGCCTGGCCGCGCTGGCAGCGCGCGTCCCCTTGGCCCTGGTGGTGAACTTTGCGCACTGGTCGGCTTTGCCATCGCAGAAGACTGGGCCTCGATCGGATCCATGTGTACCCTGTCGAACTCGAGGCGCTCCGAATCGTCGCGCTGGAGGTGTTGGCGGTTCCCGAATAATTCTCGATCGCGCGTGAACTCGAAGAGTTTGCCCGAGGCTGGTGCTGCTAACGTCGTCGGGGTCGTCGGCTGCTGTCCTCCTGCGGTGATATCCTCCCGAGTAGCCAGGATCGGATGGTGGCGGCCTGCTTCTTGGTGAGCTCCGCCTCCGCTAGCTCCTTGGCTAACTTCTGCTCCTTCTCCTGTGCGAGACGCAGCTGCTTCCTCAACTGCACCACGGCTTGGAAAGCCTGGGCGCGCCTGTTAATGATGTCGTGCCAAGCTCCGTCCGCTCGCTGCAAAGACTGAAATGCCTCCAAAGACGTGGCGCCTTGAGAGTTCTGCTCTAGCTTGAGTTTCTCGACCTGGGCTGCGAGCGTGCGCTTCAACTCTGGATCGGTGGCCTGTGTGAGCGCCTGTTCGAGCAGCGGCACAACCTCCCTCGTACGCGAGGTCGGTGGAGGAGTGCCTGCGCGGCGCCCTCTCCTGGGTGTGCCTTGGCCGCCGTCAGCATGATGCTGGTCGTCAGCGAATGCAACCTTCAGAATGCCCTTGGGGCCGCCGCCACTACTCTTGTCCATGTCCTTCTCTTTGCCTTCTACACCTTACTAGAGCAACGTAAACACTGCATGTCCCTGGCAATGAGTAAGTCGTTCCACTCCGACTGGAAACAACGCTTGCGCGTGGACTACGCACGCGCCATTGCTGATATCCTCGGCTTTCGTCAGCACGGAAGCCTGTGTGTGTGTCTACAAGGGCGAGACAGCAAACACAGGGACTGTGCTGTCCCTCAAACGCCCGCGGGAAGGGACCGAGGCTCTGGACCCCGCCCAAACGGTTGGAGCCAAAGCGGTTTGAGAGGAGGAGGAGGAGGAGGAGGAGGAGGAGGAGGAGGAGGGGGGGGAGGAGGAGGAAGAGAACGAGGAGGAGGAGGAGGAAAAGGAGGAGGAGGAGGAGGAGAGCGAAATGCGGGAGGATAGGGGCGGGGGAGGGGGCTGAGGCAGGGCGCAGCGGGGGGGGCCTGAGGGCGCGCGCAGGGAAGAGGAGAGGCCCGCCCCCTTGCGCCCAGGGTTCATTCCCCTCTTCGACGCCCCCAAAGGCAGCGCCGACGGAGGACGTCGAGAGATGTGGAGGAGGGAGGGATTGGGCGAGGGGGAAGGGTGGGAGGGAGAGAGGAAGACAGAAAAGACGAGGTGGGGGTGTAGGCGAGCCGGGACATCCGACGTCACGCTTTGTCCGTGACGTGGGCTACCTGCGCTCTCGACCCAATCCCTGGGATCGGTTTTTCATCCTGGATTGTGCCTTGGAAATGTCTGGGGGGTCAGGTCTGTAGGAGAGCCCGCAAGGGCGTCGGCAGGGCCGTCTTAGTCGCTCGTTGCCGTGGCTCTTGGTTCGCACATTTTCGCGTCAACATGCTCTTGGTGCGCGAAATGTCTGGTCCGGATTTCCCTGCCCCGTCTGGGGGCCATTCCTACAGACGACCCCGTTCTCTGACCCCCGGACAAACCTAAATTGTGCCTGGCGGTCCTGGGGCCCCTTAACATCAAAGCGCTTGAAATACCAGCCGCCACGATACTTCTTCTCGACGCACGGAGCCCAGAACTGGATTTTCATCCCGGGTCGTTTTTTCAAAGTATGGGCCCCGAGAGGCCGCAAACAATGCAAAACCTCTGTCTCGATTTCTTCGAGACGCCAGATGTTTGGGAAGGGAGCTCCTGTTGCCCACGTCGAACTCGTTGTGGGACACCTTCCCGGTCTTGCTCAGGTCGAACCAGCCCGCGGCCCTGTCGAGGGTGCCCAGCTTCGCCGTGATGATGTAGACCAGTGCCTCCCGCCGCTTGGCCGGAGAGGTGGCACCAGGGGCTGGGGAAGATGCGGGAACGAGCTGCGTGCTCAGCCGTGACCCCTGACCCACACCCCCTCGGGTCATGAAAGAAACACGACGAGAAGTCCTTAACTATCTTCGGCCTCTGAGGCTCTGAATTACCGGGCCTCGGGACCGTCAATCAAACGACCCGGGCTGAAACGCCAGTCCCGGGGAACGGGCCAACGCCAGGAACACAAAACCCTGACCTCGGGGGTCTGAGCCCTGTCGAGGCAACGCTACAGTAGGAGCTCGACCACAAGAAGCCTTCCACAAGAAACCCAATCCTGACACCCGAGGACCTCCGTTGAAACTTGGTGTGGGAGCGTCACGCTTTCCATAGCAAAACCATCGGAACCCAAGAAACCCCGGGCACCCTGGAGGCAAGCAGGGTGCCTCTCGACATGGGCTTCCACCGTAAAGCACGGGTTCAGGCGGGCGGGTATGGGCGGCGGGCCCCGCTTCCACACAGCGGTCGACGCGCACCGTCGCCAACTCTCGGGCGACGCTCTGAGCCGAGATCATGGCGTCGGGGGTCTGGGTTTTTTTTTGGGGGTGGGGCGCCGTCCCAGGCCCCACGACTTGTCTTCTGTCGAATCTGCAAAACGTGAGGAGACAGGCTGCTGAATATGCAGACCTTCTACGTTTTTTTGTGGTCGACCCGCCGAGAAAAGCTCGACGCACATCGGCCCTCGACGGCCTTCGGAGTTTCCCTGGCGGCCTCTTGCGCCAAAAGCTCGGCTGCCGCGGTCCGCAGGAGAGCCACGTTCGAACACCGTTGGCCGAGAACGAGGGGGCTGGAGAGTGGGAAAAGCTGGGGGGCTGGAAATTGGCACCAGCACCGACGGGAGACGATGCTCCTGGATGTTGGTCCTGGAGTGGGCATCTAGGCGACCTGAGAAGTCCAAGTTTTACCACCATCGCCGAGATCATGATCCTGCCTCGGTAGAGGAGACCGCCGATACGGGTGTTGGTGCTCACCTCAAGGTCTCTGGGAAGAACTGGACGCGCACTCTCGCCGTGAGGGTACAGGCTCGGTGCCCCCCAACTGCCCAGATGTTTGTCAGCACAGCTCCGTCCTCGGGGGGGGGGGCAGAGGCAGCACTGCCTCCACCCCACCCTGCAAGTCTAGACATCCTCCGATTTGTGTATTCAATCCAGGCCCCAAATCTGCAGACCCCTTTTCCCAGTAGTTTTCCGTACCAGATCCATGTTTGATGGTGCAGGGGCCTGAGAATGGGCCCAAGTGGCCGGAATCTATGAAAAACGTCGGGATTGAAAACAAAACATCTCGGCGGAGATCTGGGGATCTTGCCTTGCCACGAACTCTCAGCCCCATCCCCACCTGCATGTCTCGCCACCAACTCTCAGCTCGTTTCCACATCCTCCTCCTGTTAGCGCGCATCGCCATCCTTGTCCCCGCCTCTTCTTGTGACCCTGCGGTGGTAACATGGATGTGCGAGCGAAGTGTGAGGGGGAACGTTGGGGAGGAACCAACTCAGGGGGAGAAACACGGAGCTGGAACCAGTGACACATCGCCCATAGATCGGCGATAGGCCCCAGATAGCAGATCCGCACGTTCCTGGGCTGGGTGGGCTCTATCGGCTGTCAGGCCCCCGTCGGCGATGAAAGGGCGATTGGGGATCGATGCACCCTCCCCTGAGCCCATCTCTCCCTAACGTTGCCCACGACAAGCACCTCCAAACGAAACTGGTGCCCGGCGCATGGGCCCTCGAACGGCCGCGGCTCATCTGAAGTCTGAGTGCGGATCAACTGGCGCAAAAAGCCTTGGGCCTCCGGTGCTTCCTGAGAGGGCTCAGGAGCCAAAACCACACCTCGTGCGCTCGGCAAGGGGTCCCACCAGCCCTCCGGGCATGGCACTCGCACTCGCACTCATGCCATACTCCTGGGCGGGAAAACAAGCTCAGCACAGCTTGCACTGCAAGGAGGAGGAGGAGGAGGATGAAACAAGACGAGGACGCGGGGAGAGAGTAACAGCAAAAGCAGGGAGGAAGACGGAACAAGAAGAACGATCACAATTCTGCTCGCCCCTCTTCCAAAACCCCTTCTCCCCCTCAACCGGCAAGGGTTTACCCCTCCCGCTGCCAACCCCTGGGTCTGGGCCGCCCCACGCGCGAGGGGTTAGACCCTCCCCCTGCGTCGGCCTACTCATACCTCGCGACTGTGATGTTGTCTCTCTCCCTCTCTCGTTTGCAATCGACTGTGATGCTGTCTCTCTCTCTCTCTCTCGTGTGCAATCTCTCCACAGCCCCAGCTTATGCACCTGCAGCCCGCTCAGATTCAGCTCCTTCAGCTCGTCCTGGAGGACGTCCTTCTCTGCCTGCGTCGCAGGCGCCCTGAAGCAAGCAGGCGCCCCTGCGACATCCCCCTCTCTCGAAAGGCCATTTGGGATTTCGGCGACCCTCCTCCTGTCTGGTATTACGCCTTTCGTATTTTGGCCTCTTCGACTTACCAGTCGTCGTCACCGTCGTCCTCCCCCTCCTCTTATTCCGCCTTTTTCTGACCAGCAGGGAAGCTGGGGAACCGTCGCGCGCCTTGGCCTGCAGCTCCACCTCAGCCAGCTCCTCTGGGCCCAGCAGGACGAGGGAGGACAATGAGACAGCGAGGAGGAGAATGACACATTCAAACCAGGACCTCCGACGTATGGAAACATGCAAATTAACATTGTTCATCAATATTCCGCCTCCAAGGTCCCTCGCCAGGACAAAGGACCGTCAAAAATCCGAGTTGGGCGGAAAACTAGTCCCAAGAGAAAGGCTTCCAAGGACCGCGTGCTGAACGAAACTTAGTCCGGCGAAGGACCCAACAATATGCAGGTGTGAGTATGTAGTTGTGAGTATCGTCTTCGGTGGAGCTCCATATGGGGCCACGAAACGTGTGAGGAATGCACCGAATGGGTGCAGTGAGCGCATGCGAACGCAGCCACTGCGGCCTTCGGTGGAGCTCCAACATGGGGCCACGAAACGCGTAAGAGGTGTGCCGCATGGGCGCGGTGGGCGCATGCGAACGCAGCCAATGCGGCCTTCGGTGGAGCTCCCCTATGGGGCCACGAAAAGTGTGAGAGGTGCCGAAATGGGTGCGGCGGGCGCATGCGAACGCAGCAACTGGGGCCTTCGGTGGACTTCCCCATGGTGCCACGAAGTGTGTCAGGGGTGTGCTGGCATGGGTGCGGTGGGCGCATGCGAACGCAGCCACTAGGGCCTTCGGTGGAGCTCCCTGTGGGGCCACGAAAAGTGTGAGGGGTGAACAGGAAGTGTGGAAGGCACATGCGAACGCAGCCACTGAGGCCTTCGGTAGAGCTCCCTATGGGGCCACGAAAGGCGTGAGGGGTGTGCGCATGGGTGCGGAACGCAGCCACTGGGTCCTTCGGTGGAGCTCCCGGTGGGGCCGAAGCGTGTGAGGGGTGTGCCAAAATGGGCGCGGTGAGCGAATGCGAACGCAGCCACTTCGGCCTTCGGTGGAGCCCCCTGTGGGGCCACGAAAGGTGTGAGGGGTGTGCGCGCATGCGAACGCAGCCACTGGGGCCTTCGGTGGAGCCCCCTTATGGGGCCACGAACCGTGTCAGGGGTGTGCCCAAATGGGTACGGTTGGCGCATGCGAACGCAGCCACTGCGGTCTCCTATGGAGCTCTCTGTGGGTCCAGGGAATGAGTTGAGTTGTTGACTGGTGCTCAGGGCACCAGCGGGGATGAGAGGAGGGAGGAAGGGGAGGATGAGTGAGGAGTTGACTCGGGTGGTGAAATAGTCATGATGATGGTGATGATGATGATGCTTCTAATGATGATGATGGTCGGGGTGATGATGATGGTGATGATCTGATGATGGGGGTGAGAGGAGGGTGTACCGGGAAGGGAGGAACGCGGGGCACTGTCTCTTCAAGACGAAGGCCCGATACCACAACAACAAATATCGGACCTCTGGGTTCAGGCAGCAGACGCAATAACAAGAGCAAGGTGTGAAAAGCGGGGGCTGGGCTCCCGCTTGCCCCACTGAGAGCGGCTTCAGCAAAAATCGACACCCTCAAGGCCGAGCGCTCCGCCGAGCTCACCTTCTGCTCAGTTGTGCAGGTGCCCGCGGGGAAAACTGCGTAGTTTTTTTAATCGAATTCCCTCGACCTCCACCCTCCGCGCCTTCTGGGCAGCAGGCGCAACGCCGCGGTGGAAGCCCAGGGCTGACATGGGCTAAATACGACGACGACAATCACCAATCACCCGAAAAAACACCACCCATCACTGGCTCACAGCCGGAGATGCAGGGCCACCGCTGCCCCGCTGCGGCAGGCTCGTGTCGTGAAGACCTGCCTGTTGGCTTCTGACACCATGCGAACCGTTCAACCTTGAACGACCGCGGCTTCCTGACAGCGCGGATCGCTCGATGTCGGCCGACTCTGGGCCACTGGCGGCGTTCAACCTTGAACGCCCGCGCCCGGGGCCGCTGCGTCGCAGAAACACTCCACGAGCCTGCCGCAGCCAGCGTGATCGGAAGGCCGAGGTGGACGACGACGAGCCAGCTCCTCCCGGCTCAGCAGCGCCTCCCTCTCCAGCACGTCCGCGGCGCTCCACGGGGAGCGGTCTCGCGGCCGCCGAGGGGGAGGAGAGGGCCCCCCGCCAGGGACGGTGGTGCGACGCCCCCTCCCCCCCCACAGATAGAACCCTCGACAAAGATGCCGACATCAAAGGCGGCGACGACGACGGCGGCAGCAGCGGTTTGGCGATCCTCAGACGGTCCAGTGGCCACACCGTCAGGCGAGCCGAAGGTGCTTGGGAGCCAACGGGCCATCCTGGGACCTAGCTCGCTCTTCGAGGATCTCTCGAACGCATAGGGCCTCCACAATCCCAGTAGAGCCCAGTGATGCACTGGCAGGTGAGATCTTCAGGATTTCGATCGCATTCACTGTGCTACAACAAGGAGCGCTTAGGTAACGAAAGGCCGTGGCCACTTCTGTAGCCTCGGCAACGAACAGGCTTCCAGACCCAGATCTGAGGAATGGTCCCAAAACCATCGCCCCTCCTGAGCCCCAAGTGGTCCTTCTTTCAGCGTCTTGACTGTCGAACGGTCGCTCGACGGTTTGAGGCCTCCAGCGGGGCGGGCACGGACCCCCGATCTGAGGCCGAGTGTGCGGGCGTCAGCTGGGACATCCTGACTCTGCGCCCTCACGGCCTCCCTCTCCTCCTCCACCAGCATGTCCCTTTCGCTTCCCAGCCCACCCGCGCACAACAATCTGAAATACGCCGTATCCCCTACTCAACGGTCCCCAGGGCTGGCTATTGAAGGCGCCTGCTCGAGGACGAGAGGCGGTGGATTATTGCGCTGGCTTCGCGAGGCAGAAGCACTGTGTGGGGAGGGGCTTGGTCATCGTCGCACTCAATTTCATCTTCGTTTCCGTCTGCACCACCACGTCCTATGCTCAGCGAGCCTGAGGGCTCGAAGACGACGCGTTCTGATCGCCACCAGCTCCAACGTGCGCTGAGCTGAACGGTGTACTGCTTCATTTGCTGCAGAGGTGAAGCAAACAATAACAACATATCGATGCGAACGCGCATGCTCCTACAAAACGGGCGACTTGAACTCGTATGCGAGACAAGTCGGCCGCGACCCCCGGGTCCCGTGTACACGGGCCAGAATTGTAAGTATTGTAAGTATCTGGACAGAGCGGCGCTGATCTCTCAAGGTGCTGCTGTTTGCTGCCTGGAGGATGCAATACCCTAGTAGTGGTAGTGGTAGTGGTAGTGGTGATGATAGTGGTACTGGTAGTGGTCGTGATCGTGATAGGTGGTAGTAGTCGTAGTAGTAGTCGTAGTAGTAGTCGTAGTAGTAGTAGTAGTAGTAGTAGTAGTAGTAGTACTAGTAGTAGTAGCAGTAGTCGTAGTAGTAGTAGTAGTCGTGGTAGTAGTAATAGTAGTAACAGTAGTAGTAGTAGTAGTAGTAGTAGTAGAAGTAGTAGTAGTAGTAGTAGTAGTAGTAGTAGTAGTAGTAGTAGTAGTAGTGGTCGTAGTAGTAATCGTAGTAGTAGTAGTAGTAGTAGTAGTAGTAGTAGTGGTGGTCGTAGTAGTAGTAGTCGTCGTAGTAAGTCGTAGCATTCGTAGTCGCAGTGGTCCTACGAATAGTAATACTCGTACTCGTAGTACTGGTCGCAATAGTCGAAGTAACAGTAGTCGTAGCAGTAGTAGTAGTAGTAGTAGTAGTAGTAGTCGTAGTAATAGTAGTCGTAGTAGTCGTAGTAGTAGTAGTAGTAGTAGTAGTAGGAGTAGTAAAAGTACTCGTAGTAGTAGTCGTAGTAGTAGTCGTAGTAGTGGTGGCCGTAGTAGTAGTAGTAGTAGTAGTAGTAGTAGTAGTAGTAGTAGTAGTAGTCGTGAGAGTAGTAGTACTAATAGTAGTTGTCGTCGTGTAGCAGTATTAATGTTAATAGTAGAAGTAGTAGCAGTAGTAGTAGTAGTAGTAGTAGTAGTAGTAGTAGTGTTAGTAGTAGTAATAGTAGTAGTAGTAGTAGTAGGATTAGTAGTCGTAGCAAAAGTAGTAGTAGTAGTAGTAGTCGTAGTAATAGTAGTAGTAGTAGTAGTAGTAGTAGTAGTAGTAGAGGTAGTAGTGATAATGATAGTAGTAGTAGTAGACGTAGTAGTAAGAGTAGTAGTCGTAGCAGAAAGAGTAGTAGTAGTAGTAGTAGTAGTAGTCGGAGTAGCAGTAATAGTAGCAGTCGTAGTTGTAGTGGTGTCAGTAGTAGTAGTAGTAGTAGTAGAAGTGGTAATAGTAGAAGTAGTGGTAGCAGTCGTGGGGTAGTATTTGTAATAATTGGAAAAATAGTAATAGTAAAAAGAACAGTAGCCGTAATCGTAGTAGTAGTAGTAGCAGTAGTAGTCGTCGTCGTAGTAGTAGTAGTAGTAGTCGTAGTAGTCGTAGTAGAAGTCCTAGTAGTTGAGCTAGAAGTAGTCGTATTCGTCGTAGTTGTAGGAGCTGTACTAGTAGAAATAAAAGCAGTAGTAGTAGTAGTAGTAGTTGTTGTTGTCGTAGCAGTCGTAGTAGTAGTAGTAGTAGTAGTAGTGGTAGTCGTAGTAGTAGTCGCAGTAATAACAATAGCAGTAATTAGTCGAGTCGTAGTAGTAGTAGTAGTAGTAGTAGTAGTAGTAGCCGTAGTAGTAGTAGAAGTAGTCGTCGCACTAGTAGTAGTAGTAGTCGTCGCCGTCGTCGTGGTAGTAGCCGTAGTAGTCGTAGTAATACTAGCACTAGTAGTACTCGTCGCAATAGTCGAAGTAACAGTAGTCGTAGTAGTAGTAGTAGTAGTAGTAGTAGCCGTAGCAGTACTAGTAGTAGTAGCCGTAGTAGTAGTAGTAGTAGTAGTAGTCGTCGTCGTAGTAGTAGTAGAAGGAATAGGAGTAGTAGAAAGTAGTCGGAGTGATAGTAGTAGTCGTAGTAGTGGTCAGAACAATAGTGGTAGTAGTTATCGTTGTAGCAGTAGTAGTAGTAGTAGTAGTAGGAATACGAGTAGTAGTAGTAGTAGTAGTAGTAGTAGTAATAAAAGTAGTAGTTGTAGTAGTTGTCGTAGAGGTAGTGATCAGAAAACTAGTAGTCGTAGTGGTAGTCGTAAGTAATAGTAGTAGTATTAGTCGGGGTAGCAGTAATAATAATAGTCGTAGTGGTTGTGATGGCAATAGAAAAAGTAGTAGTAGCAGCGGTAGTCGTCGTAGTAGTATCAGTAGTAGCAGTCGCCGTGTAGCAGTATTAGTGTTAGTAGTAGTCGTAGTCGTCGTAGAAGTAGTAATAGTAGTAGTAGTAGTAGTAGTAGTAGTAGTAGTAGTAGTAGTAGTAGTAGTAGTGGTGGTCGTAGTACTGGTAGTTGTAGTAGTAGTAGTAATAGAAATAGTCGTAGTTGTAGTAAGACTAAGAGAAAAAAGAGCCGTAGTCGTAACCGTAGTCGTCGTCGTAGTAGTAGTAGTAGTCGTAGTAGTAGTAGTAGTAGTAGTAGTAATAGTAGTGGTGGTGGTGCTGGTGGTGGTGGTGGTAGTAGTAGTCGTTGTACTAGTAGTCGTAGTCGTGGTAATAGTAGTAGTAATAGTAGTAGTAGCCGTAGTAGTAGTAGTAGCAGTTAATAGTAGTTAGTAGTAGTAGTATCAGTAGCAGTAGTAGTAGTAGTGTTAGTAGTAGTAGTAATAGTAGTAGTAAATGTAGTAGTAGTAGTAGTAGTAGTAGTAGTAGTAGTAGTAGTAGCCGTAGCAGTAGTAATAGTAGTGGTAGTAGTAGGAATATTAGTAGTAGTAGTACGGGTAGTAGTAGAAGTAATAGGAGTAGTAAAAAGTAGTCGTAGTGATAATCGTAGTCGTAGTAGTAGTAGTAGTCGTAGAAGTAGAAATAATAGTAGTACTAATAGTAGAAGTAGTAGTAGTAGTAGAAGTAATAGTAGTAGTAGTAGTAGAGGAGTAGTAGTAGTAGTAGTAGTAGTAAGAATACGAGTAAAAGGAGCCGTAGTCGTAACCGTAGTCGTCGTAGTAATAGTAGTAGTAGTAGTAGTCGTAGTAGTAGTAGTAGTAGTAGTAATAGTAGTGGTGGTGGTGCTGGTGGTGGTGGTAGTAGTAGTCGTAGTACTAGTAGTCGTAGTCGTAGTAATAGTAGTAGCAGTAGTAGTAGTAGTAGGAGTAGTCGTCGTCGTAGTAGTAGTAGTCGTAATAGTAACAGTTAATAGTAGTTAGTAGTAGTAGTAGTAGTAGTAATAGTAGTAGTAGTAGTAGTAGAAGTAGTAGTAGTAGTAGTAGTAGTAGTCGTAGTCGTAGTAGTCGTAGAAATAGTAGTCGTAGTAGTAGTAGTAGTAATAGTAGTAGTAGCAGTAGTAGTAGTAGTAGTAGAAGTAATAGGAGTAGTAAAAAGTAGTAGTAGCAGCAGTAGTCGTAGTAGTAATAGTAGTAGTCGTCGTGTAGTAGCATTAGTGTTAGTAGTAGTTGAGGAGGCCGCGGCTTGCGTTCGTCGAGGCGACCCCGCCCTGCGCTGAAAAGGGCGCGCGGGACAGCCGCGGGGCAGCCGCGGGGCAGCCGAAGCAAAGCGGGCTCTTGGGCGGCATCGCCGCGGGACGCCGCGACATAGCCGCAGCAGCACGACTGAGGACGGCTGCGCAGCTGCAGCACTGCTGTAGCGCAGCGACGGGGTAGCATGTCGGCGACACAGGGACGATCTTCCACGAAGGGGATATCCATAGGAACTACATCCTTGACAGGAACAGACACGGTCACGGACCTGGCGGACACAGAAAAAGAAAGCAACGTGGAGGGCGAACGACAAGAGAGCGCCGAGACGGCACAATATGCACACGCAAGTCCGGGCATATATAACTCGGTGTGAAACGGCAGGTGCATGTGCAATTGAATGCATGCCCTGGTTGTTGAACAGGTGTAGGAAATTCCGGGGCATGTGATCTCTTACAAACATCAGTAAGAACAGGCGTCGGTAGGTCGAAACGGCGAGACACACATGGCCAATAATTGGAGGGCAGTGTGGAAACGCATGCGCGCGCGAGAAAACGCGCGCAACTGAACACGCACACACGAGAACGCGTGCGTGAATACAATGGCGCGCACATGAACTTTCAC